TCGCTGTGGTCGCGAAGGTCGCGCGCGCGCCGTCGCGGCGTAAGCTGGACGCGTCGCGCCAGCAGCCGTTGACGTTGACGACGCTCATGACGCCGCGCCGCGCAGACGCCGGCCGGAGTTCTCCGCCGCCGCCTCCGCGCGGGGTCGTTGGGCGGGTGAAGAGCCCGCCGTGGGAGCCGGTGGCGGCGGCGGCGGCGCCGGAGCCGACGGCGGCGGAGGCGACGGCGAAGAAACCGCCGTCGCCGAAGAGGAAGCCGCCGCCGCCGCCGCCGCCGCCGCGGCCGAAGCACGCGCCCGGGAGCGTCGAGGAAGCGCTCGAGCTCATCCGAGCCCGGGACGAGATGCTCGAGGAGAGGCGGAAGAGGAAGGAGGCGAAGAAGGCGACGGAGGAGGAAGAGAGCGACGCCGCCGTCGCGGCGGTACAGCTGGCGGCGGCGGAGGTTCCCGACGCGCCGCCTCCCGAACGCGCGCGCGCGCCGTTGCCGCGCATACGCGCCGACCGCAAGTGGGCCGCGTCCGTCGCGCTCGCGGGCGCGATCGATGACGCGCTCGTCGGCGAGTGAGCGAGGAGGAGGTGGTGGTGGAGGAGGAGGAGGAGAGCCCCGACGCGACGGCGGCGTTGTAATGATTCATTCTTTTCGCTCGCTCGCGCCGACGAGCGCGACGGCGGTCCGCCGCGCCGCGCGACTTAAAACTCCGGCTCCGCGTCGAAACCGGCGCCCTTGACCGCGTCCACGAGCTTCGGCATCGCGGCGAGGCCGTCCATCTGCGATTCGCACGGCACGGACACCGTCACGAGCTTCGACTCCAGATCCACCTCCACGCCGCTCACCGCGCCGGTGGCCTCCAACGCTTCCGTGACGGACGACGCGCATCCTTCGCACATCATGCCTTCCACCTTGAGGACGATCTCGATCGGCTCCGCGTCGTCCGCGGCGGCGGCGACGACGCGCGCGGGGCGGGAAGACGCGCGCGCGACGACGCGGCGCGCGGTCCTGCGACGGCGACGACGACGAAGGGGGCGCGGTGCGGAGGACGTGATGCTGATGAGAGTCGGCGGTCGATCCCTCGATCGTCGCGAGGAGCGAGGAGGACGAGGAGGGACGAACGCTCGCGCGCGCCGCGGCGTCGAGGGAGCGTCGCCGGGTGGGTTCGCGCGACGGACCTCGCGGGGCGACGGAGGGCGGAGCCGAGCGCGGGGGCGGCGACGGAGGTCATCGTGGCCATCGTCGTCGCGCGGTGAGGAGTGCGCGTCGTCGGGGCGCTGCTGGCTACTCTTCATCCTGTAGGTCTGTCTTGGACGACGCGACGCGTTCGAGTTCTATCGCGAAATGCGAGAATGCCATCTGTTCAAACCTTCGCGGTCTCGCGCCGTCGGCCATAACGCGTCGCGCGGCGGCGGGTTGCGGGAACGCGGCGCCGACGTTCCGCCCGAGTCACAGTGAGCCATCGGGCGCGCGTCGACGGCCGCCGCGGGAGGTCCGAAGACGAGGAGGCACCGCCGCGTTGTGAAATCTCAGAGGTCGTAGCGACTTCGCGACGAAGCGTCGGATAGGCGCGCGATGTCGTCGCGCCCGCTCGCGCCCGGCCCGTCCCCGTCCGACGACGACGCCGGCGGCTCCGGGTACGCCACGCCGATGAACCCCGGAGAAGGGGCATCAGGACCGCGCGCGCGGACGGCGACGACCGCGACGCCGCGACGCGCGCGGCATCACGACTCGACGACGTTTTCGCCTTCCACGACGACGCCTTCCACGGCGTACCTCGACCGCGCGGCGGCGTTCGCGGAGCGCGTGCAGAGCGACCTCAGCGCCGCGGTCGCGACGGACCCGATATACCACGCGCTCGCGTCGTCCCCGGCGCTGGACCCGTCGCACGCGGCGTGCAGGGCGCGCGAGCTGATGGAGGAGCTCGTCCGAGCGGAGATGGAAGGGAGGCCGTGGCCGGACGCGGGGGGAGACGTCGACGCCGCCGCGGCGGTGATGCGCGGAGACGACGACGGGCGACGCGCGGCGGCGGCGGCGGCGGAGGCGGCGACGACGACGTCGCGAGGAGGAGGAGGAGGAGGAGGGTTCGGAAGCGCGGCGTCGACGCCGGCGACGTCGACGCCTGCGACGGCGACGACGCTCCCGCGGTCGCGTCTCTTCGACTCCAGAGGGTTCAAGATCCCCGACGAAGAAGACGCAGAAGCGCGCGACGCGCGCGCCGCCGAAAACGCCGCCCTCGGGCCGCTCTCCGCGCTGAACGAAAACGCGTCGCGGGACGCGCCGCCGGCGACTTCCGACGCGCTCGTCTCGATCGCGACGGCGTCGCCACTCCGCGTAGGTTTAGACAGCGCCAAACGCGCCAACGAGCGCTCGCTGCGCGACGAGCAGCGCGCGACGAGGCGCGAGCTCGAGCGCCTTCGAACGCGCGCGGACGCGGAGACGACGCGTGCGGACGCCGCGGAGGCGAAGCTGAGTCGCGCGGGCGACGCCGGACGCGTCGCCGCGCGAGACGCGAAGCGCCTCTCCGCGGCGTTGGAAAAATCCGAACGCGAACGCAAGGCGCGTCCCGTACACTGGTCCCCATACGACCGCGTTCGCGTGGTGAACGCCGATCCTTAAGGACTTTTCCCGTCGTCTCTCTCCGCCCACCCCCCGCTTTCAATCCCCGCCCTCGACGCCTTTCAACTCCGCTTCTGACGCCTTTCAACTCGATACAGGCGACGCGCGCTAAATACGTCGCGCTCGGCGAGCGGCTCGAGAAGACGCTCGCGGAGGACGCGGACGCGCGAAAAGCCGCCGCGGAGGCGGCGGAGGCGGCGGAGACGAGCGCGAGGGAGCTCGAGGAGACGAGGGAATCGTGCGCGTCGCTGCGGCGGAGGGTGAAACGCCTGAAGAGCGAACTCGCGGACGCCGCGGCGAAGCGCCTCAGGCGCGTTCTCCTTCACACCGGTCCCCATACGACCGCGTCGGCGTGGTGCACGCCGATCCTTAAGGACTTTCTCTCCCGGCGGTCGTTTCTCTCCGCCCACCCCTCGGTGCTTTCAATGTCCTCCCTCGACGCCTTTCAAATCCACCCCTGACGCCTTTGAACTCCACCCCGACGTTCGCTCGCGTGGACCTTCGACCCTCAGAGAGAAGACCGACCTCGAGGCGGAGCGCGACAAGGCGACGTTCGACTTGCGACGTTTGAAAGGCGACGTCGACGCCGCGGCCGCGGAGCGCGTCGCGGCGGTCAACGCCGCATCGATCGCGGAGAGAGCGTCCGTCGTCGCGACGCACGAAGCGGAGATCGCGACGAAAGCCGCGGCGGCGCGCGCGTCCGCCGCGGAGGAGGACGCGAAACGTCACAAAGACGTCGCGGATTCGAACCGACGCGAGCTCGAGGAAGAGCGACGGCGGCATCGAGACGCGATCGAGCGCGCGCGGCGCGAGACCGCGGACGCGGCGAAGGTGACCGCGGCCGCGCGCGAGCGAGACGTCGCGTCCAAGTTTGAATCGCTCCTCGCGTCTGAACGCGCCAAGTTTGAATCGCTCCTCGCGTCCGAACGCGCGAAGCGCGCGTCCGACGTCGAGACGCTCGAACGCGAGCGCGAGTCCTTGGCGTCATCGCGCGCGCGCGACGACGCCGCGTTCGACGCCGCGGTCGACGCCAAGGTGAACGACGCGCTGCGAGACGCGACGGACGACGTCGAACGCCGGATGAGAGAAGCGGAGGAGAAGCTCTCGCTCGCGTCGGCGGCGGCGGCGGCGGCGGAGGCGTCGGCGGCGGCGGCGGCGCGCGCGGAAACGGACGCGAAGCGCGCGCACGAGGACGAGCGCCAGCGCCTGGAGAAGGCGCTCGCGGAGACGCGCGACGCCGCGGCGAAGAGAGAGGAGGCGCTTCGAAAAGAAGCGAGCGACGCCGCGGACGCGAGGGAGAAGGAACGGCGGGAGACGGAAGCGTCGCGCGCCGCCGCCGAAAAGGCCGCAGCCGCCGAGGCGTCGACCCAACGCGAGGACTTCGCGCGCCAGCTGTCGGACCTGCGCGACGCGCACAGGGCCGCGGACTTGGCGCGGCGCGATGACGACGACGCCGCGCGACGCCGCGAGCGCGACGACGAGGAGAGGAAGCGCGTCGCGCTGAGCGAACGGCTGACGGAAGCCAAGCTGTCCGCCGCCGCCGCCGTCGCCGACGCGGAGTCCAAGGCGAAGGTGGCCGAGGCGGAGGCGGAGGCGAGCCGACGGCACGCGGCCGCGTCCGCCGCCCAGGCTGCCGAATCCGTCGCGGAGACGCGCGACGTCCGCGAGCGGTGCGCGGCGGAGCTGCGCGAGGCGCGCGAGCGGTGCGCGAGAGAGGTGGACGCCGCGAGAGAGGAGACGAACGCCGCGCGCGCGGAGCTCGCGAGCGCGAAGAAGGCGGAGACGGAGGCGAAGGACGCCGCCGCCGGGGAGGTCGCGCGCGCGGTCGTCGCGAAGAGGCTAGCCGCCGAGGAGATGAAACGTCTCGAAGCGGAGCTGACGGCGTCGAGGGAGAAGGCGATAGAGGAGGCGCTCGCGACGCGCGCGCCCGCGGTCGCGTTCGAAAAGGATAAGGAGATTGCCCGTCGCGTCGAGGCGCACGCGGCGACGACGCGGGAGTTGCGCGCGAAGGAAGACGCGCTCGCCGTCGCGACCGCGACCGCGCGGCGTCACGAGGAGGACGCCGCGCGGACGCTCACCGCGCGCGACGACGCGCTGCGGCGTCTCGCGCGCGCGGAGGCGAAGGCGGAGGAGCTCGCGGAGACGACGGCGCGGCTCAAGTCCGCGGCGGCGACGGCGGCGGCGGCGGCGACGACGCGAGACGCGGAAACGGCCGCGAACCGCGCGGTCGAGGTGGACGCGCTGCGCCGAGAGATCGATCGCCTGAAGCGATCGCTGACCGAGTCGGAGGAGACGCGCGCGAGGCTCGCGACGGAGGCGGACGGCGCGAAGCTCGCGCTCCGCGACGCGGAAAGCGAAGCCGCGCGCGCGGCGAACGCAGCGGCGGCGGCGGCGCGGCGGCGAGACGAGGACGCGGCGGCGGCGTCGCGCGCGGCGGTGGACGACGCGACGACGCGCGAGCGCGATAACGCGAGGGAGCGCGCGGACGCGGCGAAGGCTGACGCGGACGCGCGCGTCGCGATGGAGCGCGCGTCGCACGAGGAGACGAAGGCGGCGCTCGCGGAGAGAGAGCGCGAGATTGCGAAAATTTTGGAGGATCTCACCGGGAACGTGGCCGCGCCGATGAAGACGCTCTACGTCCCGGCGCCGCGGACGTCTACCTCTCCGCCGTCGTCGCCGATGCCGCAGACGCCGCCGCCGCCGCCGCCGCTCGCCGCGACGCCGTCGAAGAAGTCGCTCTTCGGCGGCGGCAAGAAGAAATCCGCCAAGGCGGACGAAGAAGCCGCGGCGGCGAACGAGCGCGAGATCGCGTCGCGCGTCCAAGCCGAGCTGGCCAATCAGAAGGACTGGATGCGCCAGCGCATCGCGTCGCTGGAGACCGCGCTCGAGGACGCGATCGCGTTCAAGCTCGAGGTGAAGAAGAGGGAGCGCGCGATTCGCGAGGCGTCGAGCGCGGCGATCGAGCGCGCGCGGCGCGCGGCGACGGCGGAGGTGCGCGCGGCGCGGGAAAAAGTCAGGTGCGTCCCATACACTGGTCCCCATACGACCCCGTTCGCGTGGTGAACGCCGATCCTTAAGGACTTTGCCCGGCGCGTCTCTCCGCCCATCCCTCGCTTTCAATCCCCGCCATCGACGCCTTTCAACTCCATCTGACGCCTTTCAACTCCACCCCGACATCGCTTTGTATGGAACGACCCTCAGCGCCGTGAAAACGGAAACGACGCGAGCGTTACAAACGCTCCGAGACGCGTGCGCGGCGGACGTCAACGCGGTCGTCGCGGCGTCGATGGCGGCGTCCGACGCCGCGGTGCGTCGCGCGCGCGTCGACGCCGCGAGAGAGGCGGAAGAGCGAAAGCGCGAGCTCGGCAACGAGAGAACGCTCGGCATTCTGTTGACGCGGTTCACCGCGAGGGAGGGCGTCCGCGCGTTCAACCGCTGGCGCGCGGTCGCCGCGCTTCAGAAGCGCCGCGCGTGGCAGATGTCGCGAACGATCGCGATGCTTCGCCACCGAAGCGTCGCGCGAGCGATGGCGACGTGGCGCGAGCGCGTCGCGGCGGCGGCGGCAACGAAGCGCGAAAACGCGCGAACTCGCGCGGCGGAGGACCACGGCGCGTTCCTCGCGAAGCGCGTCGAGCAGGCGCGTTCACACTTTTTCACACTGGTCCCCATACGACCGCGTTGGCGTGGTGAACGCCGATCCTTATTAAGGACTTTATCTTCCGGCGCATCTCTCCGCCCATCACCCCTCGCTGCTTTCAATCCCGACACGCCGCGACGCCTTTCGACTCCGCTTCTGACGCCTTTGAACTCCACCCCGACGTTCGTCGCTTCGCACGGACCCTCGACCCTCAGTACGCCGCGGAGGTCTCGGCGCTGAGCGCGGCGAGAGAGGAGGCGAGAGTCGCGCGCGAGAGGGCCGCGCGCGCGGCGTTCAAGACCGCGGCGCAAAACTCTAGGCTCGCGAAGGAGGTGCGCGAGACGTCGCTGAAGCTCGCCGCCGCCGAGGCGTTCAAAACTGAGGTGCGTTCTATACACTGGTCCCCATACGACCGCGTTCGCGTGGTGAACGCCGTTCCTTAAGGACTTTTGCCGTCGTCTCTCTCCTCCCACCCCTCGCTTTCAATCCCCGTCCTCGACGCCTTTCAACTCCACCTGACGCCTTTGAACTCCACCCCGACGTTCGCTTGTATGGAATGGCCCTGAGGCGGCGGCGGCGGAGAAGCGGAGGAGAGACGAGACGGAGAGCTCGGTGAAACAGAAGATCAAGCAGCTCGAGGCGAAGACCGCCGCGGAGATTCTCGACGCGGAGGCGAAGATCAACGACGCGTGGAAGCGAGAGAAGAAGCTCCGCGAGGAGGACGCGAAACGACACCGGGAGGAGCTCGAAGAGGTGATGAAGCGATCGGACGCGGCGCGTCTCGATGCGGAGGCGGAGGCGAAGACGCGCGTCCAACGCGCGGAACTCGACGCGAAGACGAGAGTCGACGCCGCGGAGAAGACCGCCGCGGAGAAGGTCGCGGAAGCGGAAGCGAGGCTGACGAACGCGGAGGTGATGAAACACCTCGACGCGAAGGTGCGAGCGTCCGAGCTCGAGATGCGGTCACGCCTGGCGAAGATCGAAGCCGCCGCGAGCGAGAAGGAAAAGGTCGCCGCCGCCGCGAAGATGGTCGACGCTGAGGTGCGTTCTATACACTGGTCCCCATACGACCGCGTTGGCGTGGTGAACGCCGATCCTTGAGGACTTTTCCCGGCGCTTCTCTCCGCCCATCACCCCTCGCTTTCAATCCCTACACACCTCGACGCCTTTCAACTCCGCTTCTGACGCCTATCAACTCCACCCCGACATTCGCTCGTATGGAACGACGCGGAGACCGCGGAGCGCGCGTCGAACTGGATGACGTCCGCGAAAGCGGTCGAGGACATGGCGTCCACGGCGACGCGCGCGATCGAGGGCGAGATGAGGCTGCGCGACGAGGTCGCGCGGCTGGAGAACGAGCTGCACGACGTCCGAAGGGAACTCGATCACGCCGTCGAAGAAGCGTCGATGAGCGCGAAGACGGCGGCGGACGCCGACGCGGCGGCCGCGGCGGAGCGCGAGCGGCAGCGCGCGGCGGTCGCCGCGCGCCTGGAAGAGGAGACGACGCGCGCGGACGCCGCGGAGGCGGACGCGAAGCGTTGGAAGCTCCTCGCGGACGCGCGCGAGCGCGAGGTATCGAAGCTCGCGTCGGAGCTCGAAACCGCCGCGACGGTCGCCGCGGCGGAGGCGGCGGCGGCGGCGGACGCGACGGACGACGTCGTCGGGGTGTACCTGACCGGCATCGGGGACTTGCGGGACGAGCTGCGCGCGATGAAGCGGCGGTACGCGCACGACGTCGACGCCGCGAAGGTGCGTTCATATTTACACTGGTTCCCATACAACCGCGTTCGCGTGGTGAACGCCGATCCTTAAGGACTTTTCCCGGCGTGTCTCTCCGCCCATCCCTCGCTTTCAATCCCCGCCCTCGACGCCTTTCAACTCCGCTTCTGACGCCTTTTAACTCCACCCCGACATTCGTCGCTTCGTATCCGTCGCCAAAGCGCGAGGCGGAGAAGGCGCTCGACGAGATTAAAGCCGCGTTCGACGCGCGACTCGACGCGGCGAATAAAAAAACGCTCGACCGCGCCGCCGAGGGCGACGCCGCGCTTCGCGCGTCGCGGCGACTGCAGCACCAGCTCGAGCTCGAGACGCGAGCGGGGCTCGAGCGCGAGAGCGATGTCGCCGTCGAGCTCGAGCGCGCGCGAGAGGACTCGCGCGACGCGGACGCGAGGGCGCGGCGCGCGGAGGGCGACGCGGAGGCGGCGCGTCGCGACGCGCGGCGCGCGACGAAATGGGCGAGGGAGCTGGAGGCGATGCTCGTGGAAGCGCGCGGGGGGGCGCCGATCGGGAGTCACCCGCTGTCGTCGCTGCCGAGGTACGAGTACGACGGGGTCGGCGCGGCGGCGTCGCCGGCGCCGACGCGGCGGATGCCGCCGGAGCGGCGGCGGGGCGCGGATAGTCAGTAGACAGTAACTAACTTGCTTGAGGGCAGTGGCGTCGTTTCGCTCGGCGGGACTGGATGGGTTTCGGAAAAAACGATGCAACGATGGGTTTAGCTTTCGTCACGGTCAGATCTCCGCGCGCGCGCCCCCCCCGCGATGTCCGCCGCGGAACTGTTCCCCGGCGCGGGCGCGTCCCCCGGCGTGGAGGTGTGGCGCATCGAGCGCCTCGAGCCGGTGAAGCAGCCGAGAGACTTCTCCGGGAAGTTCCACGTCGGCGACAGCTACGTCGTGCTGCACGCGTTCGAGGCGTCGAGAGATCGCTCCCCGGACGACGATGGCGCGATCGGCGGGTCCTCCGCCTCCCCGTCGTCCCCGTCGTCGTCGTCGTCTTCGCGCGCCCCCCGCGCCGCGCGACTCGCGATGAACGTCCACCACTGGATCGGCGCGGCGTCCTCCCAGGACGACGCCGGCGCCGCGGCGACGCTGATGACCGTCGAGCTCGATCGGCTCCTTGAAAGGCGTCAGTTGGAGTTGAAAGGCGTCGAGAGCGTCCGCCCGACGCAGTTATTTCTCGAGACCCAGGGCGCGGAGAGCGGAGAGTTTCTTCAGCTCTGGCGTCACTCTGGCGTCGCGTACCTGGACGGCGGCGTCGACGGCGCGCCTTTGGCGGAGCTCGACGCGCGGTCGTGCGAGACGCGGCTGCTGCGCGTCGAGGGCGGCGGACGATGCGCGCGCGCGTGGCAGGTGCCGGCGCGGGCGTCGTCGCTCAACAGCGGCGACGTGTTCATCCTCGACGCGGGACGAAGGTTGTATCAGGCGCGTTCTATTACCACACTGGTCCCCATACGACCGCGTCGGCGTGGTGAACGCCGTTCCTTGAGGACTTTACTTCCCGGCGCATCGCTCCGCCCATCACCCCTCGCTTTCGATCCCCGACACACCTCGACGCCTTTCAACTCCACCCTGACTCCTTTGAACTCCACCCCGCCGTTCGCTCGTACGGACCCTCGACCCTCAGTGGAACGGGAAAGAGTCGAGCCGCCGCGAGCGCGCCAAGGCCCTAGACGTCCTCCTCGCCATCAGAGACGACGACGAGCACGGGGGCAAGTCCGAAGTCTTCGCCCTGGACGAGGGCGTCACCGTGCTCGGCGCGGAGGGATTCTACGAGGCCCTGGGCGTCGACGCGGCGGCGGCGGCGTCGCCGAAGAAGATTCGCGTCGCGCCCGCCGCCGCCGCGGGACGCGCGGCGGACGACGCGGTCGACGCGCTCTCCGACGGCGTCGTGCGACTCCTCACCGTGGACGTGGACGGTGGCGACGACGGCGACGATGACGCGCGTCGCGTGACGACGCGCGAGGTCACGACGCGGCCGCTGACGCGCGAGATGTTGACGTCGGATTCGATCGCGTTCGTGACCGCGGGCGGCGCGGCGTACTGCTGGGCGGGGATGACGAAATGGCGAAGCCTCGACGCGAAGGAGAGACACTTCGTGACGCGCGCCGCGGCGGCGTTCGCGGCGGACCCCGCGAATAAGGCGCGTTTATATTTACACTGGTTCCCACACGACCGCGTTCGCGTGGTGAACGCCCATCCTTACTTAGGACTTTTGCGAGCGCATCTCTCCGCCTATCACCCCTCGCTTTCGATCCCGACACACCTCGGCGCCTTTCAAATCCAACTGACGCCTTTCAACTCCACCCCGACGTCGCTTTGTGTGGACCCTCGACCCTAACTAAGCTCCCGGAGCGCGTCCCCGTGCGCGTCGTGAAGGAGGGCGGCGAGCCCGCGTTGTTCAAGCAGGCGTTTCACATGTGGAACGCGCCCGCCGCGAAGCCTATCTCCTCGCCGCTCTCCGCGACGAAGAGCGGCGGGGCCAGAACCACCCCCGACCGCGTCGCCGCGGAGATCGACGTCTCCGCGTTGGCGCTGCCGTTCCCGAGGCTCAGGTGCGTTCTATACAAAAGTTTTTCACCCATCGCCCGGTTTCAACATTTGATCGCTCCCCCTTTCAACTGACCGATGATCATTTTTTGTATGGAATGGCCCTCAGCGGCGGCGTCGTCGCGAGCGAGAACGGCGTCGGGGACGTCACCGTGTGGCGCATGGAAGAGCGCGAGCGCGCGCCCGTGGAGCCGTCCGCGTACGGTCAGTTCCGCGCCGGCGACTCGTACGTGATCAAGCACACGTTCGACGGCGGCGCGTCGCACGTCGTGTACTTTTGGTTGGGAAAGGATTCCGCCGCGGACGAGAGAGCCGCGGCGGCGGACTCGGCGGAAAAGCTCGTCGACGAGCTCGGCGGGCGCGCGACGCGAGTCAGGGTCGTCATGGGGAGAGAGCCCGCGCGCTTTCTCGAGCTGTTCGTGGGGAAGGCGGCGGATGCGGCGGCGGCGGCGGAGGCGGCGGCGGCGGCGGAGGCGGAGGCGCGGCTGTTCCACGTGCGCGACGCCGGCGTCGACGAAATTTTCCACTTTTCTCAAGACGACCTGCGCGCCGACGACGTCATGCTTCTCGACGTCGTCGCCGAGACGTTCCTCTGGATCGGCCCGAGGTCGAGCGAGCGCGAGAGAGCGCGGGCCGCGGCGCTCGCGCGGAGGTACGTCGAGGCGCGCGCGGAGCACGACGGCCGGGACGTGGACGCGCCGACGTCGATCGTCCCCGCCGGCGCGGAGCCGCCGGCGTTCGCGCGGCGTTTCGTCGCGTGGGACGTCGCGCTCGCGCGCCGCGTCGCGACGAGCGGCGTATCCGGCGGCGACGGCGCGCACGAGGACCCGTACGAGAAAAAGTTGGAGCGCGCGCGGGCGGCGAACCCGCCGCCGGTCCCGGGCGCGGAGGTGAAGCTGAGGAAGACGCCGGATAAGGCGAAGAGGGAGGGGGAGGGTGCGAAGAAAGACATCCGTTCGGAGGAGGACCGCGGGGGACCCGTCGTGTTCGCGAAGTTGAGACCGACGCCGCCGAAGCCGACGAGATCGCCGGGCGCGGGCGAAGACGCCGCCGCCGCGGCGTCTTCTGATTCGTCGGCGACGGAAATACCGTCTGACGTGGCGGGTCCTGATACGCTCCCGCCCGGGTCGATCACGCTGACGATGGAGGTGTTGACCGCAGCGGACGTCGCGTCGAGGCACAACGTCGTCGTCACGGAGAAGGAGTCTTACCTGTCCGACGCAGAGTTCGCCGGCGCCTTCGGGATGGGCAAGGCTGAGTTCGCCGCGATGCCGCTGTGGCGTCGGCAGGCGGCGAAGAAGAAGGTCGGGCTGTTCTAGTAGCCTAGCTAGCTAGTAGACGATACGACGAGACGTACGTGTAGAGGAAGAAGACTCGCGTCGCGTTTTCGTTTTTCGTTTTTTTCTTTCATTTTTCTCGTCGTCGACGTCGTCGTATTCGTGCTCTTCTTCTTCTTCTTCTTCTTCTCGCGGCCGGCCTACTGCCATCGCTCTCGGCGGCGGCGTCACTTTCAATCAGACACGCGTCATCGCGCGCTCGCGTCGTCGCTCACCTCACGCGCTTCCTTCCATCGTCGCGCACGTTCGTTCACTCGTCTTTATCCGCGCCCTTCACGGCGCGGGCGATGTGCAGCACCCCGAGCGCGCTCGTCGCCGCGATCTCCGGCAGCGTCGCCTTCTTCTTCTGCGTCTCTTTGTACAGCATCGCGCCGTCCATCGCGCTGACCGCGAGCAGCCCCGCGCCGTTCGCGATCAAGAGGTTCTTTTTCGCTTCGGAGCCCTCGGGGGCGAACGCGGCGGCGACGTTGAGGCCCGCGACCCAGCACAGCGACGCGCCGAGCCACCTTGGGTTTATTTGATGAGTGATCCGTCGATCCGTCGGTCGGTCAATCGCGCGCGGTCAAAACTTTCTCGAAACCGGGCTGGTCGGGGTATAAAAAAGCGAATACACGATGAAAATCGAACCTGGTCGTCGGCTTGTGCTGCGGCGCGGGCTCCTTCTTGTCGTCGTCCCCGGGGACTTCCTCCTCGAAGTAGTACTCGTGCGTCTTCTTCGGTTGGAGAAGGCTCATCCCGCCCGCGGCGGTGGAGAGCCCCGCGGACGCGAGCAGGAGGTGCTTCCCCTGCGGGAGCGGGACGTCGTCGAGGATGCCCATCGTGTCGTGTCGGTCGGTCGGTTATCGGAGCGCGGCGGAGGCGGCGGTGGAAGAGCGCGTCGCGTTCTTCTCGGGAGCGGCGAGGGCGGGTTCTCTCCCAGTCGTCGTGTGCTCGCGCGTGCGCGGGAGCGTTTACGGGTTCGCGAGGAGCGCGAAGAGCGAGCGGGCGAGGTGCGAGGACACCGCGGCGTGCGTGCGTGCGTGGAGACGAGCGGGGAAGCGCGCGTCGTTGTGAGCGGGGACGGACGAGCGACGACGGAGAGAGAGAAAGATACGCTCGCGTCGTGGTTTCGTCGGCCAGCCCGAGAGACCTGACCGCGGGGTCTGGTGGCTGGCGTCGCGCGCGCGTGCGAGCGAGTACGCGTACTCTAACCAATTGCCCATACGCGTACACGTACGTTTCAGGTGGCCGTTTGAAAAAACTTGGACCGCTCGACCCGCCGTTCAAATCAAAATCCGACGCGCGCGCGCCCGTCGCCCCCCCTCCCCCCGCCCCGCGTCGTCCCGTCTCGTCTCGCCATGGGCAAGGCGAAGGACCGCCTCGAGCGCCTGCTCGACGAGCTCAACAAGGACGCGCGAGGCGACGACGGCGACACCGACGACACCGACGCGACCCCGTCCACGGTCTCGGGCGTCACGGAGGCGGAGAACGAGGTGGAAGCCATCAGGCGCATGGCGGCCGCGCGGGAAGGACGCGACCCGGACGACGGCCCGCATCTCGGACGCCTCGAGATGAAGGTGGCGCAGCGCACGGCGAAGCTCGAGGAGCGCCTCGCGATCCTCGTCGAGGAGAACGTCAAGAAGGACGAGCGGCATCTCGAGGCGATGGTGGCGAAAGAGAAGGCGTTCGACGCGGAGCGGCAGAAGATGCTCGACGCGGTGAACCACCTCAAGGCGAAGCAGACCGAGCTCGAGAGGCTCGCGCCGCCGCTTCGCGAGGCGATCGCGGAGGCGAAGAACGACGTCCAGAGCGTGGTGTGCTCGCAAGAGCGGCTCAAGGAGCTCAAGACGATGGACGCGAAGGACCTCTCCCTGCGCGAGTTTTGCGTGCTGCGCGTCCACGAGGAGACGGCGAGCCTGCGCGCCGATCTCGACATCACGCGCGTGGAGCGCGACGCCGCGCGCGACGCGGCGTCGCGCGCGAAGCTGGACAACGAGCGCCTCGTCCGCGAGACGCGGCGCGCGACGGCGAACATCAGCGCGAGCGAGCAGGATAACGCGGCGGAGCGCGCGGCGCTCGACGCGCGATGCGAACGCCTGTCGAAAGATTTGGAAGACGCGCTCGTGAGATGCGAGGTGCTCACGGCGAAGGGCGCGATGTACGACGAGGTCGCCGCGTCCGTGGACGCGCACAAGACGAGGGCGCACGAGTGCGAGCGCGCCGCCGCGGTGGCGAGCGCGAACGAGTCGCTCGTGAGAAAGGAGCGCGATTCGCTCGCGGAACAGCTGTCGTCGACGCGACACCGAGCCGACCTTCTGACGCAGGACAAGGCGTACCTCTCGCGCGAGGTGGACGCGCACGCCGAGCGCGAGCGCAAGGCGGAGATGGAGGAGGATCGAATGCGCGAGAAAATCTCCGAGCTCAAGGCGCAGCGCGACGACCTCAGGGAGAAGCTCATGCGCGGGAACGACGAAGCATCCGCCGCGCACGAGGAAAGGCTTCGCGCCGAGGTGGAACGCCTGCGCGTCAAAGCCGCGGAGGATCTCGCGGCGCTGCGCGAGGAGCACGCGTCGCAACGCGATCGAGAGATCCGCGCGCTGAAGGATCTGCGCGACGCCGCGGTGAACGACGCGAGCGGCGCGAGGCTCGAGCTGAACGACGCGCGACGCGATTACGACGACTTGCTCGCCGCGCATCGCTCGTCGCAGAAATCCTCCGACGTCAGCATCGCGCAGCTCACGGGGGAGCTGCGCATGAAAGCCATGGAGCTCGAGCGGATTAGCATGCTGCACGGCGAGAGCGTCGGGAATAACAAGGTGATGCGCATGGAGTGCGAGATGCTCACGAAGAAGTGCCGGCTGCTGGAACAGCAGTACGTCTCGCTAGAGAACGAGGCGCGGAGACGGCAGAGCGACGTGGACCTGACGCTCGCGGAGCAAGCCGCGCGGTTGGAGCACTACGAGGCTCTCGAACAGGAGCTCGACGACGCGGTCGTGCGCGAGGCGGCCGACGGTCAAGCCGCGAGCGTCAGCGGCGGCGAGAACCGCGTCACCGCGCTCGCGGCGCTCGGCGGCGCCGTCCCCGCGTCGCTGCGGCGGCGGCTGCAGCAGTCCGTCGCGCTCGGCCGGAGATGCAACGAGCTCGAGAAGCAGTGCAAGCTGGCGTGCGACGCGAAGGACGACATGACCAGGCGCGTGGAGGACCTCGAACAGCAGTTGAGACGCGCGCAGAGCAGGGTATCGGACGCGACGCAGCCGTATAATTATCTCGTCGATCGCATCGCGGCGGCGGAGAACGACGCGGACGCGGCGGCGAGCCGCGAACGCGTCGCCGTGCAGCAGCTCAACGCGGCCAAGGCGAACGCCGCGGCGGCGCACGCGGAGGCGGACGCGCTCAGGAGGGATCTGAAGCGAGCGCTGGACGAGCGAGGGAACGTGGCGAAGCTGAAGGCGATGCTCATCAAGCAGCAGGCGGGACGGAGCGGCGGAGGACGGTCGCGCGCGCCGTTGAAGGACCTGCCGCCGCTGCAAGGGAAGTGACGGACGGACGCGAGCGCGCAGCGCGCGCATATCACGACGACGCGACGTCGATACCTGTAAATGACACGACTCATACACAAATGACACGACTCTAACGACACGACGACGCGCACATCGCAAACCGCGCGCTCTGAGAGAAAGGCGCGCCGATCGACCGCAGGAGTACACCTTCATCACTTCATCTTGCTCCCGCGTCGCGCCTGACCCAACCCCGCGGCTTCGCGCTCGCACCGCGCGCATCCGCACTCGAACCCGTAATCCATCAACTCCGCGCGCCGCGCCCTCACGTCCATCCCCTCGTCCACGTAACACATCGTCAACTCCTCCCCTGCGGCGATCGCCCGCTTCGCGACGAGCACGCACTTCCCGTCGACGTCGCCGTCGTCCTTCAACGGCGTCACGTTCGGATCGCAGTCGTTGTTCATGCACGACTGCAACGCGAAGAAGCCGGTGCCTTCGCACGGGACGCAGTACTTCGTGTCGAGGGCGTCGAGCAGCGGATCGGTGATCGCGCGCTCGGGGCCCTCCGGAGGTAACTCGTCCATCGCGAGGAAGTAATCCTCCACCGGCGACGCGACCGCGATCTCGAGGTTGTTCGTCTCGAACATCCCTATTATCCTGGAGTACACGTCGATGTGGAACAGACCCGGGTACGCTTTCACGAATCTCAAAAACGTGGAGCTCGCTCGGAGCAGCCGCAACGATTCCGTCGCGATCTCGCGCATGCTCTCGCGAAACGCCGTCTCCTCGTCCCCCACCGCGACGTCCTCCGGCCTCGCCACCGCGTCCCACCACACGGGCTTGTGCGCGACGCGGAACGGCGCCCACGCCGCCGCGAGCGCGTCGCTTTCGCCGTCGCCCGAGAGCCCCTCTAATTTGCCCGCGTCCGCCGCGACCTTGACGAGCGCCTTGGCGGCGAGGATGAAGATGTCGTTCGTCTCTCTCGCGTGCTCCACGAACGCCCTCGCGTCGGGCCTGTCCTCGGCGATCTCCCCGTCGTCTGCGCAGTGGCCGCCGACGCAGAGAAACATCTCGTGCGACTGCATCGACGTCAACGCGCACTCGAAGCCGCAGTACACCTCTCGCGAGCACCCCGTCAGGCACGCTTGGATTTCCGGCAACGGGAAGGCGTCCGACCCCGGAAGCTTCAGGCCGTCGCGCGTCATCCCTCGCGCCGTCGCGAGCGCGCTCGCGTTGAGCTCCACGTTTTCCTCGCCGCCGCCGCCGCCGCCGGAGGTGGACTCGAGCAGCCTGCGCGCGATCTGATGCTCGATCGATCCGACGAACCGGAAGCATCCGCCGCACACGATGGCGTCCGCGCGGTTCCGCTCGTGCTGCATCCCGACGAGCGGCGGCTCCACGAGGACGCGCTCGCCCTCTCTGAACGCCCTCGCCGCGACGAGGCCCTTGCCGTGCTTCACGCGCTTCACGGTCACGTCGCCGTGCCCGGGCGCGCCGGGGGCGAGCACGGAGGCGTAATGCGCGATCTCGTCCGCCTCGGAGGGCGGCGCGAGAAGCATCGCGAGCTGCGCCGCCTCGATCGCGGCGGGGTCCGGCGCTTCGTCGTCGCTCATCGGGCCCGCGCGTCGAGCGAGGACGCGGCGGCGAAGACGACGACGCCGAGGGGGTATCGACGCGCGGCCGCGGAGTGCGCGGCGGCTGGAAATGAGGTCGTGGAATGGAGCTGAGATTCGTCTTACAAAACCTTACAAATTAAAATTAACGCTTGCGCCGTCGCGTACGCCTCACTTCTTGATCGTCAGACACTTCGCGAGGCACTCCTCCACGTCCAGATCCTCGAGGAGGTCGAACACGCTCCCTTCGCCGTCCTCGTGCGTCACGCGCGCGTCCACGAGCCACTCCTTCACGCGCTTCTCTTTGATCCCGGACGCGATCAACGCCGCGCCGAAAGCGTCCTTCGCGATGGGCCGCTTCAGCCAGTTGGCGCGCTCCTGTCGCGGGTGAACGAACGCGTCGGTCAATTGTGCGTCTCATCACCGGTCAAACAAAACGAACGTTGAAAGGGAAGCGCGGGCGAAGAGTGACGTCGGGGAAAGTCCTTAAGAAACGGCGTTCACATCGCGAACGCGGTCGTATGGGAACCAGTCTCACCGCGAGCCCCTCCAGCGGCGACGCGGACGCGTGCACGCCGTTCTCGCCCACGAACGGCTTGGACTTCAGGCCGAGCTGCTTCCAGTCGCGGTAGATCATGCCGCGGAGGGAGCTCTCCGGAGCGTCCGCGGGGTCGGTGGGACCGAGCACGTCGCCTCTGAACGCGGCCCACTTACAATCCGCCGGCTCGAACTCGACGACGTAGTAGTGGATCGACGCGCCGGGCGCGACGAACGCGGCGCGCATCTCCATGAAGAACCCGTTGAAGACGTAGATGTCCTCCACCTTGCCGCAATAGAACCCGCCGCCGAACTTGACGAGGTGCCCGTCCTTCTTCGCCTTCTGCCACTTGGCGTCCAGACCGGCGGAGTCCACGCCGAAGTGCGCGCACGCGTCGAGCGCGTTGAAAACCTTCCCGTCGTCCAACGCGCTCTGCCACGACACGCCGTACTTTGCCTCGAACGCGTCCGCGGGGACGGGGAGGTCTTTCGGCTTCGTCAGCGTCGCCTTGGACGCGATCGCGTAGTAGTGCTGATCGATGAGCTTGTCCTCGTCGATCGCGGCGGCGTCGATCTCGCCCTCGGCGACGATCGCGATCTTCCGCGCCTCGAGCGTCGATCGCACGAGCGCGCGCGTCGCCTCCGTGTTGGCGTGCGGCTTGACGAACACGAACGCGGCGTTCTTCAGGTCGCGGAGCGCCGCCTTGGAGGGCGTCTTCCTGAGCGCGGACGACGGCGTGGACGCGCTGCCGCCGCTGACGGAGGACGCGGGGGAGCCGGACGCGGGGGAAGCCGCGCCGCTCAGCGCGGGCGATCCCTTCGCGGGCGTGCTCGCGCGCGACGACTTTTTCTTCGAGGGCGTCGCGGCGACGGGCGTGTCCGGGCGGATCTCGAGCGGCGCGACGGCGGCGCTCGGCGGCGGAGGCGGCGGCGTCGTCTTCTTCTTGAGATCGAGCTTCTTCAGGGCGACGAACAGCGCGGCGCCGAGGGCGGCGCCGACGAGGACGGACTTCATCGTGCGGGGCGGCGTGAGAGATCTCTGCGACCGATCGCGTCGCGCCGACGCGTTTTCTTTGAACGCTGTTTTCATCGGCGCTCGTCGCGCGCTCTGAACCGTCGCCGAAACAGGAACTGCTGTCAGGATAAACGACGGAGGGCTGTCGTAGAGCGGCGCGATCGGCGCCGCCGGCTCGCCCTTTATCGACCGCGCCTCGCACGCACGCACTTCCGAAACTCACCATGGAGCAAACGTACATCATGATCAAGCCGGACGGCGTCCAGCGCGGCCTCGTCGGCGCCATCATCGCGCGGTTCGAGACCAAGGGGTTCTACCTCCGCGGCATGAAGATGATGTCCGTCACGAAGGAGCACGCGGAGAAGCACTACGCCGATCTCAGCTCCAAGCCCTTCTTCGGCGACCTCGTGGATTACATGTGCTCCGGGCCCGTGGTGTGCATGGTCTGGGAGGGCAAGGAGGTTGTCAAGACCGGAAGGAAGATCATCGGCGCGACGAACCCGCTGTGCGTCCCTCTCCCGTCTCCTCCCTCGATCGCCGACGCCGCCGCCGCCGACGCGAGATGATTTCGCGTCGCGAAAGAGCGCCGAGCCGAGCGGCGGCGTCAGAGTCGCTCCGCCCGCGCGCGTCCTCCTCCCCGCTCGCGCCGCGTCGCGTCGCGTCGCGTCGTTCGACCGCCGCGACCGACCGACTCTGACGCCCTAAACCCTCCTCCGCGCCGTCCTCCTCCCCGCCCATCCGCAGCGCGTCCGAGCCCGGCACGATCCGCGGCGACTACTGCATCGAGCTCGGACGCAACGTCATCCACGGCTCGGACGCGGTGGACTCCGCGAAGCACGAGATCGGCCTCTGGTTCCCGGAGGGCGTCTCCGAGTACGCGCACACCGCGCACGCGTGGATCTACGAGTGAGCGACGACGTGGACCGCGGTCGCCGCGCGTCGCGATGATTCGGTTCGGTCTGGCAGCGGCGACGGCGAGTAGACGAAACGTGTGAATGATACGAAAGTACTTCGCGACGTATATTATATTCTCCGCATTCGTCGTACTGTATCTCCTCCGTGTCACGTTACATACCGCACACGCGATTGATTATTAATCTATCTTCACGCTGCCGTAGATGGCCCTGACGAACGCGTAGCTCGCGACGAACCCGACCGCGCCGCACGCCAACCCGAACCCGATCGACGCCAGCCCCATGTACGAAAAGTACATCGCCGTCGGAATCACCCCGCCGGAGATGTCCAACCGAGTGAGGTAGTAATACGCGCTGTACGCGAACACGTACGCGCCCGCGAACGCGGGGGAGTTGAACGCCTTCCACCACCACCTGTAGTCCTCGCCGCACAGCGTGAAGTACGTGATCACGATCGCGATCTCCGCGCACGTGACGACCAATATGACGTACACCACGGAGAGCACGCCGAAGATGTAGTACGCCTGACGCAGCCACACGGACGACAGGATGAAGAACAGCTCGATGAACACCGCGCCGAAGGGTAAGATCCCGCCGAGTAACGCGGTCGCGTCGTCTTTCAGGTACCACGGCGTTCTGGGCACCTGCCGAGGGATCTTATTCGTCCGCGTCGGCTGCTCCGGCGCGGGCGCGGCGAACGCTCGGTGAGACCCGAGAAACACCAACGGCGTCGAGAGACAGAACCACATCGCGCACAGCTGGAAAAGCGTCCCGAACGGCACCGCCGCGGCGCCTTCTTTCCCCCACACCACGAGGTTCAGCGATATCAGCACGGCGAACGCGAGCCCCGGGAACGCGACCGCGACGTGCGCGGTATTTCTTCGCCACTCCGACGGCGAGAGCTGAGGCGCGGAGTCGAAAGGCGTCAGAACCGGAGTTGAAAGGCGTCAGAACCGGAGTTGTGAGGCGTCGAGGTGCGTCGGGATCGTGAGCGAGGGGTGATGGGAGGAGCGATGCGCCGGGAGAGTGAGAAGTCCTTAAGGATCGGCGTTCAACACGCGAACGGGGTCGTACGGGGACCAGTGTGATGTGATGAGAGAGAGAACGCGCCTGAAACGCTCGGAACATTCGCCCCGCGACGTACCCCGCCGCGACGCCCGCGAGCGCGAACGTCATCAGCGACGCGGTCATCAGCCCCCCGCGATTCGCGGGGCTCAAGAACCCGAGCAGCGCGAATACCATGGTGACGAACGCCACGATGATGAGCTGCGCGCCGGTGCCGACGCACACGGCGAGCCGCGCGGGCGAACGCGGCGGCCGGAAGACGTCGCCGTGGAGCAGCTTCCACCCGCTCTCGCTCTCAGGGTCGTTTCATAGAAGCGATGATATCGGGGTGGAGTTCAAAGGCGTCAGAAGCGGAGTTGAAAGGCGTCGAGGGCGGGGATCGAAAGCGAGGGACCCTGGGCGGAGAGATGCGCCGGGCGAAGTCCTTAAGGAACGGCGTTCACCACGCCGACGCGGACGTATGGGGACCAGTGTATAGAACGCACCTCGTCGTCGTCCGCGTCGAGATCGACGCTCTCCAGCGCGTTGTACCTCGTGATGTCGCTCCGCAGCGTCCGCAGAACGATCATCGCGACCATCGCGGACAGGAACAGCATCACCACCGCGCTGTTGATCACTGAGAACCAGTGGATCTCTTCGTCCGACTTGGAGACAGCGAGGTAGGTGTCCCATCTCGAAGCCCACCGCACGTCCGACGGTTTGAACGCGACGTCGTAGGTCCACAGGATCTTCTCCCCGGCCGCCACCACCTGAGCGCCCGCGTCGCTGTCGAACCGCCGCGCGGGAGGCTTCGCGAACAGGACGCGCTCCGGGTCGCACGTGCTTAAAACGCTCGGGTCTGTGGCGTTAGGATCCCTCCGATGCTTCACGCTGTGCGGCTCCACCTCGAACCCCACGATGCGCCGCGCGGAATCCGGTCGCGACTCGTCCTTGTGGTACAAGATCGTGAACGTCGCGTGGTTGTTCACGTACGCCCGCGCGTCTTTATAGTCCGCGCGTTTCGCGTCCATCTCGTCGACGAACCCGACCGGGAACCCGCGGTCGTAGCGCTTGACGCCGGCGTCGTCGACGAAACTTTGCGCCGCGGGGAGATTATCTAAGATCATGTTCACGCGGTATCCGTCCACGATCGCCGCGCGGAGACGGTCCGCCTCGTGCTCGCTCAGCGGCTCGGACTCGCACACCACCTTGCACCGCTCGTCGAGACGCATCTGCATCTGATACAGCGAGTTGAAGATGCGGTCGCCGCGGAGGACTTCGCCGAGGTTTTCCGCGCTCGCGCGGATCTCGGACGGGCGGCAGTAGGGCAGGTCGTAGAACCGCATCGGCACCGGCGTCCGGTCCGACGTCAGCGAGTTCACCTTGAAGTTCACGAGGTCGTCCTGAAGGTCGCGATGGGCGGGCGGGTATCGGGCGGGGCGAAGCGCGGGTCAGGACGGCGGTTTCCGCGGCGCGGGCGACGAGGGCGAAAGCGCGTTCGATGCCGGCGTTTATTCGGCGGAGAGACGCGACGCGTTCGCGTGTCGTGTGTGGCGGGGTGGTGGGGTCGCACCCGCGCGAAGTCCTGCGGGGCGACGCCGGGGAGGTAGAACGCGCGCGCGGGCGTCGTCGCCGCGCACAGCAGCGCGGCGAGCAGCAGCGCGCGCATCGCCGCGGCGCGCATCGTGCGACGAGCGAGGAGACGCGGAGGACGACTGAGAGCCCGTTCGATCGCGGCGATCTTCTTCAGACAGGAGTGCTGAGAACAGAAATATAATTTCGCTCTAAGATACTCATACGGTCTACCTACGCGCCCCCGCGCCCTCTGCGCTGCTCCAGCCACTCCTCCTCGGTGTCGCCGCTGTACAACACCCTAAACCCCCTCCCCTCGAGCGCGTCCAGCGCCTCGCGCTCGGTCATCGACGCTCTCGCGGCGGGATGCGCGGCGCCGGCCACCGCCGTCGTCCCCAGCTCCGCGCGGTGCAACGCTTCGACGTAAAACGCGTCGTCGTCGTCCTTGTCCGTGAACTTGTACGCGCCTACCAACCGCACGCGGCGTTTCGCGCTAGGCGAGTCGCCGCCGCCCGGGAGCTCCGGGAGTGCGTCCTCCTCCGGGGGTGGTTTCAAAAACTTGCGATAGTACTTGAGTCGCTTCTTGCACGACTTTGACAGCGCCGAGTATTTCCGTCGAAAGTCGTTCGTCACGTTCTTCCCTCGGCACACCGGGACGTAGTGGGCGCCAGCTGTACCGCCGCCGCCGCTCTCCCCCCCTCCCCCCCCATCCTCCTCCTCCCCGCCTTTGTATCCGAACCACGCGCGGTTCAGCGCGTACCGCACGAACTCGAGGCCGTACCACAGCGCCCTCGGCGCGCCGCGCTGTCGATCCCTCGATCCGTAATCCACGACCACGACGCTTCGCCCGAGCGCGGCGTCGAGCATGAACGACGCGTCGAGCTCGAGGAGAACCTTCTCGAGATCTCCCACCTCGCACATCGTGGACTGGATGCGAGCGAAGGCGTACGGCACACGAAGCGCGCGGAGGTCGTCGATGGCCTCGATGCCGTTCTTCAGGTTCACGAAGACGCGCGCGTCGCGTTCGTCTTCGCGTTCATCGTTCGCCTCGGCGACGGTGACTACCACGTCCGCGGCGGAGGCGGACGCGCGGACGACGCGCGTGGTCGCCGCACGGTGGCGTCTGCTGAGCGCGGGTTCGACCGCGCGCGCGGCGTCTCGGGCACGATCGGAAGCGTCGTCGCGTCGTCGCCGCGGCGCCGCCGCGCGCGCGTGGGACGCCGCGGCGCGCGCCGCCATGACTGCGCGGCGCGCTCGGCCGAATCGCTGCTGAGTGGGCACCGCCCGTGATGATGAGCGCTCGGCGGGCTTTCGGCTTTTTGAACGCTCTCCCGTCGTCCGCGTCGAACTAAGCGCGTGAGAGTCGAGTCGCGCGCACCCCCGACGCGACCGAGACGATGTCCCGCGCGTTCGCGTTCCCCGCGCCGCGCGCGATCGCGCGTCGCGGCGACGGACGCGCCTGCGCGATCCGCCCGTCCGCGGCGCGCGCCGTCCGACGCCCGCGCGTCGCGCCGTCGCGACGACCGACGACGCGAATCGACGACGACGACGACGGCGAGATCCTCCGTGGCCTCCGCCACCGCTGCCGCGCGACGCCGATGCCCGGCGCGTGCGTCAGCGGCCTGAAAGACCTGAAGAACTGCGTCGAGGCGCAGCAGTTCGACCGCGCGATGCTCGAGGAGCTCTTCGTCATCGCGGACGCGATGTCGGAGGTGAAGCCCGGCTCGCGCGAGTCCACGATGCTCCAGGGATTTCTCATGAGCACGCTCTTCTACGAGCCGTCCACGCGCACGCGGCTGTCCTTTGAAGGCGCGATGGGCAAGCTCGGCGGCGGGATCTTATCCACGGAGAGCGCGGGCGAGTACTCCTCCGCGGCGAAGGGCGAGACGCTCGAGGACACGATACGCACGGTGGAGGGATACGCCGACATCGTCGTCCTCCGTCATTTCACCGCCGGCGCGGCGAGGCGCGCGGCGGACGCCATCGAGGTGCGTTCTATCTCACACTGGTCCCCATACGACCGCGTCGGCGTGGTGAACGCCGATCCTTAAGAACTTTCTCTCCCGGCGTCTGTTTCTCTCCGCCCAGGGTCCCTCGCTTTCAATCCCCACGCGCCTCGATGCCTTTCAACTCCGCTTCTGACGCCTTTGAACGCCGCCCCGACGTCGCTTCGTATGGACCCTCGACCCTCAGTCGCCCGTCATCAACGCCGGCGATGGGCCCGGGCAGCACCCGACGCAGGCGCTGCTCGACACGTATACCATCTACAACGAGCTCGGGCGGCTCGATGACATCAAGGTGGGGTTGGTCGGCGACCTCGCGAACGGGCGGACCGTTCGATCGCTCGCGACGATGCTCTGCAATTTTGAAAACGTCGAGGCGCGTGCTCTATACACTGGTCCCCATACGACCCCGTTGGCGTGGTGAACGCCGTTCCTTAAGGACTTTTGCCGGCGCATCTCTCCGCCCACACCTCGCTTTCAATCCCCGACCTCGACGCCTTTCAACTCCAACTGACGCCTTTCAACTCCACCCCGACGTTCGCTCGTATGGAACGACCCTCAGTTCGTCTTCGTCGCGCCCGAAGTGGTGAAGATGAAGGACGACATCAAAGCCGAGCTCGACGCCAACGGCGCGAAGTGGCGCGAGAGCGAGGACCTCCTCGGCGTCGCGAGCGAGGTGGACGTCCTGTATCAGACGCGCATCCAAAAAGAACGCTTCGGCGACCGGCTCGACGAGTACGAAGCCTGCCGCGGCGTCTACACCGTGGATGAAAAAGTGATGGCGGCGATGAAGAAGACGTCGATCGTGATGCACCCGCTGCCGCGTCTGGACGAGATCGCGCCCGAGTGCGACGCGGACCCGAGGGCGGCGTACTTCCGCCAGGCGAGGAACGGGCTGTTCATTCGCATGGCGCTGCTGAAAGTGCTCCTGAAGGTGTGAGGACGAGGAGGGCGCTGCGAGTCGTGTGTACTAACAACAGAAAAATATGCGTGATGTTCACTTTTGCCGAGCCTCGCCTCGCTCAGGGTCGTTCCATACAAATCATCGGTCAGTTGAAAGGGGACGCGATCAAGTGTTGAAACCGAGCGATGGGTGAAATGCGTTCGTTTAGAACGCACCTCAGCTCCGCGGCGCGGTCGGTGGCGCCGCCACGTCCGCCCGTCTCTGTCGCTTCTCGCGCGCCGATCCGCTCCCGCCGCTCGCAGTCAGCGCGCGCGCGTCCACGCCCGCGCACGATGCTTCGCGCCGCGTCCCGCGCCGCGAGGCGGCCGTTGACGGACGCGGCGAGAGGCCGCGCGACGTCGTTCCAGAGCGACGCCGCGACCGAGCGCGCGATGCGGTGCGTGCGAGCCGTCCGATGATCCATCCCGCCCTCCGCCACCGCTCGCGCGTCTTCTCTTCGCGCCGAAACCTTCGTCGCCGCGTCGCGAGATCCGCCGCCGTCGCCGCCGCCGCCGCCGCGCGTCCCGTCTCACCCGCCCCCCGTCCTCGCTCCCCTCCTCCCCATCGCGTCGTCAGACTCGCGCGCGAGCGCGCGAGCGAAGCCGCGGCCGCGGCGACCGCGGCGGCGACGCGCGCCTCGAGCCGAGTCCTCTCGCGGACGACGACGCATCGATGGAGCGTCTCGTCGCTCCTGTCGTCGTCGTCGACGACGACGATCTCGCCGCTCCTCGCCGCGCTCTTGCGCGCGAATCCGGCGCGGTGGCGCGCCGCGGGCGAGGCCCTCGCGTCCGCAGCGGCGGCGTCCTCCGCGCGCTCTAGCGGCGCGGGCGCGACCGCGCGTCGTCGCGCGTCTCGCGCGTTCGCGAACGTGTGGGCCGAGGCGGGTTTCACGAATCACGCGAGACGATCGCTCCCGAACTTGTCCGGGGTGGTCGTGATGATGCTCGTCGGCGGCGGGAAAGCGCTGTTCCCGGCGACCGCGCACTGCCTCGAGAAGAAGCGCGCCGGAATCGGCGGCGGGAACGGGAACGGGGGAGACGGCGAGAAGACCGCGACCGGAACCGTCGCCTCCCTCCCTCCCGCGGCGCGACAAACGGAGCGCCAATTCGACGCGAATGAACAGCCCGATTGGCGCGGCGCGCTCGTCGAGAATACGCTCACGACGCTCCGCGCGATCCACCTCTCGTTCCTCTTCTTCCCCGTGATTTTCACCGCGCCGTTTTTGCTGTCGAAGCTCGCGGGCGAGTGGGGCGACGCCGCGTGGTACCGCCTGCTGCGCGTCACGCTCGAACGCGCGGGCGCGGCGTTTATAAAGTGGGGGCAGTGGGCGTCCACGCGGTACGACGTGTTCCCGGCGCAACTGTGCCGCGAGCTCGAGGAGCTGCAGGCGAACGCGCCGGAGCACAGCTACGCGAAGACGCGGCAGATTTTGGAGCGCGCGTACGGCGGCGCGGAGGTGGTGGATCAGATCTTCATGTGGGTGGACCCGACGCCGATCGCGAGCGGGTCCATCGCGCAGATTCACCGAGCCAAGCTCCGCGCGGGCGTCGCGGAAGAGAACGGCGGCGGGCCCAAGCTCGGGTTCCAGCCGCGGCTGCTGCGCGCGGTCGGCGCGGGCGTGGAGCTGCTCGCGTCCGGGGAGTGGCGTCGGATCGCGTGGAGCATGGCGGAGGAGTGGAGGAACAGCGCGGGGCACTGGCGGTGGAATCCCGGCAGCTTTATGCCAGGACTGGGCGCCTTCGTCGGCGGCGATTCCGATTCCGACGACGCGATTCCGAAGGCGGACAAACTGGACGCCGCGCGGCGAGACGAGGGCGCGAGCGCGAGCGCGTCGTCGAGCGGCGGTAACGGCGCCGACGAGAGCGATACCCGTCACAGCGAGTCGCGGAGGAGCCGGAGAGCGCGAAGGGAGGCGGAGGCGCGCGCGCGCGAGGACGCCGAGGGACGCTTCGTCGCCGTGAAAGTCCGCCACCCCGGGGTCGTGGAGGTGCTCAAGCGCGACTTCGCGATCCTCATGTGGCTCGCGAACGCGACGAATAAGATTGAGTTCCTCGCGCCGTTCCAGCTCGAGCACACGGTGCAGCAGTTTGGCGTGCACATGCTCCAGCAGGCGCGTTCTATACACCGGTCCCCATACGACCGCGTTGGCGTGGTGAACGCCGTTCCTTAAGGACTTTTTTTGCCGGCGTTCATATCCGCCCACCCCTCGCTTTCAATACCCGCCTACGATACCTTCAACTCCAACTGACGCCTTTGAACTCCACCCCGACGTCGCTTCGTATGGAACGACCCTCAGGTGGATCTCACGACGGAGGCGTCCAACTTGCGGCGGTTTAAGGACTGCTTCTCGCTGTGGCCCACCGTGAGCTTCCCGACGCCGGTGTGCGGGCTCGCGAAGGAAGAGGTTCTCATCGAGACGTTCGAGGACGGGGTGTCCATCTCCAACTACCTCATGGAGCCCGCGGCGACGGAGGCGATGGATCGCGCGATTCAAAAGGCCAAGGCGGAGGCGAACGGCGGAAGGAAGGGCGGCGGCGGCGCGGCCGCGGCGGCGTCGCGCGTCGACGAGATCACGCGCACGGCGGCGGAGCAGAACGCGGCGGCCGCGGCGATGGCGACGTTCGTCCCCGAGGAGAACTCCGTCCTCGCCGCGCTCGGCGTGAAGACGCTGTTGAAGATGCTCATCGACGACAACTTTCTTCACGCGGATTTGCATCCGGGGAACATCCTCGTGCGACTGCCGGGGGGGATGCGCGGCGGGATGCCGGGCGGCGCGAAGGACGCGAAGGAGGGGCGCGCGATGGACGACGACGACGCGAAGAAGGACGCGTCTTCCGAACGAAACGGCGGGAACGGGAACGGGAAGGCGGCGACCAAGGGGGCCGGGCGGCTTCCAAAGGGCGGACGACCGGAGATCATCATCCTCGACACCGGGCTCGCGACCGAGCTCACGCCGCACCACCAAGCCTCGCTCGCGGAATTTTTCCAGTCCATCATCGACTGGGACGGCGTCGGCGTCGCGAATAACATCATATCGTTCAGCAGCAACCTCTCCCCGACGTTGGACACGGAGGGGTTCAGGCAAGACATCAGCGCGGCGGTGTCGCAATTTTCGGAGAGCTCCCCTCGCGCGGGCGACTGCATGAACGCCATCTTCGAGACGGTTCAAAAGTACCACGTCACGATCGACCCGAACGTCATGGTCGCGGTCGTCACCGTCATGGTCCTAGAGGGGTGGCAGTTCCGGTTGGATCCGTCGATCAACATCATGGATCACATCGCGGAGGTGATGCGCTCGAGCTTTCGCAAGCATCAACGGCTGACGATGGTGGACCACGCGCTGCGGGATATGTGGGCGCCGTTCAGCGAGCCGTGCGGGCTGTCGCTGGACCGGAGCGGGCGGTCGCCGCTGTCGGCGCAGATGGAGCACGGCCACGGCGGCGGGTGGGCGGTGTGACGCGCGGTATGTAGAAGACGCGATGATATCATGATGCCTAAATAGTACAGGCTGTAAGCGAGTCGGGATGGGTTCGCGAATCGAATCGTCTCCGTCGCTGCTCGCCGCTTCACTTGCTGCGATCGTCGCTGTCCACGACGACCGTGACCGGGCCGTCGTTCACGAGCGCGACGTCCATCGTCGCCCCGAACACGCCGTCCTTCACCCTGTTTCCCGCGTCTCTCTCGCCCGTCGCGTCGACGAGCGCGCGTCGCGCGCGCGTCAAAAACTTTTCGTAAAGAACCTTCGCGTCCTCGCCGCGCATCGCGCGGTGGAAGTCCGGCTTGTTCCCCTTCGTCACGCTCGCGTGCAGCGTGAACTGCGAGACGAACAAGATCTCGCGCGGCGCCTTCCCCGCGTCCGCCGCGCTCGCGACCGAGCGCGCCCACGGCTTCCCCTCCGCGTCGCTATGGAACAGTCGAAGATTTACAACTTTCTTGCACGTCCACTCCAGCTCGTCCACTCCGTCGCCCTCCTTGACGCCGACCAGGACCATCAGACCGGGGCCGATCGCGGAGACGACCTCGCCGTCGACCGTCACGGACGCGCTCTTGACGCGCTGCACGACCGCGCGCATCGCGCGCGGCGCCGCGGAGAGCAATGGCAGAAGGTAGGCACCCCGACAGATCGTTTATTTCTAAAACGTGACGAGGATGTTGTCATCACGAGCAATACTCGCGCTCGCGCTCGCGCGTCGCGCGTCGCGCGCGCGCGCCGCCGCGGCCATGGCGACGCGGACGAGCATCGGCGCGTCCGCGAGCATGGAGACGCGCGCGCCGCTCGCGGTCGACCCGCGCTTCTGGTCCTGGGCGCTGAAGCACGGCGTCGAGCCGCGCGACTGCCGCCCGGACTTCGTCGGATCCGCGCGCGAGGGATGGCGGGGCGTCGTCGCGACCGCGCCCATCGCGGCCGGCGCCACGCTCCTGCGCGTCCCGACCGCGCTCCTCATGTCCGGCCGCACCGCGGCCGCGGACGACGTCCTCGCGCGCGCGCTGAGCGAACATCACGAGCGCGACGGCGAACCGCCGCTGACGCCGACGGATCGACTCGCGGTGCACCTCCTGCGCGAGCTCTCGCGAGGCGCCGAGAGCTTCTGGCACCTCTACCTGAGGCAGCTCCCGCGGTCGTACGCGCTGACGTGCGGCTGGACCGCCGCGGAGCGAAACGCGCTGCAGCTCCCGCACGCCGTCGACGCCGCGGATCGAAGCGCGGCGGCGTGCCGCGACGCGTGGGCGCGCGCGACGCCCGTCATGGAAAAGATTGGGCTGCCGGCGACGTATCGATCGTTCGGCGCGTGGGCGTGGGCCGCCGCGACGATCAGCTCGCGCACGGTCTTCGTCCCGTTCGACGCCGCGGGCGCGCTGTGCCCGGTGGGCGACTTGTTCAACTACGTCCCGCCGACGCCGCCGCACGTCCCGAAGGTGGTGGGGACGCCGCTGGAGGGACCGAGCGACGAGCGCGACGACGAAGAAGACGATGAAAACGATTCGTATTTTTTGCGCCGCGGCGTCGGCGGCGACGGCGCGTGGCACGAGGCGTCCGACGCGTGGGTCTTCGTCGCGCGGCGGGACTATCGCAAGGGCGAGGAGATATCGCTGTGCTACGGCCAGCACACCAACTTGGGTCTGTTGACGCACTACGGGTTCACGATGAGTCACGGCGAGAACGCGCACGACGAGGCGCCGCTCGTCGTCGACGCGAAGGTGCGTTCTGGTTACACTAGTCCCCATACGACCGCGTCGGCGTGGTGAACGCCGATCCTTAAGGACTTTTGCCGGCGCATCTCTCCGCCCACGCCTCGCTTTCAATCCCCGTCCTCGGCGCCTTTCAACTCCGACTGACGCCTTTCAACTCCACCCCTCGCGAAGACGCTGGACGTGGATTTCCCGGCGGCGGTGGGCGACGTCGGGTCGTATCGTAACGCACACGAGATATGCGTTTTCCCGCGCGGTGGCGTGAGCTGGAGCACCCTCGAGCGGCTGCGCCTCGCCGCGCACGCGACGCTCGTTGGGAAACCCCCGGGGAAGGACGTCCGCGAGCGCGCGAGACGAGGCGAGGCGCTCGGCGCGGCGTGCGAGACGCTCGCGCACGAGGCTGTCGTCGCCGCCGCCGCCGCCGCGTTGACGTCCGCGCCGACGACCGCGGCGGAGGACGCGGAGATCGTCGCGCGGATGGAGGCGGAGGGGGTCGAACTCGCGGCGAACGTCGACGAGCCCGGCGGCGTCGCGCGCGACGGGTCGCTGGCGGAGTGGGCGAGGGTGAAGGCGGGGGAGGAGGAGGAGGAGGAGGAGGCAGAGGGCGCCGCCGCGGCGTCGGAAAACATGCTTCTCGCGGTGCGATGGCGGTTGTCGTATAAGCGGTCCGTGCAGGCTGCGTATAAGCTCGCGGCCGCGAGGGTCGCGGAGGCCGCTCGCGCGCTGGAGGGCGGCGGCGCGAGCGGTGCCGTCGGTCTCAGGGACTTGAGAATAGCGCGTCCGAAGACGCTGCGAGGCGGGCGGTGAGTTACTCGTCATAGCGCGTGGAAAAAACTCGTCTCGTATTCGAAACCGTCGTCGCGTTCGGTACCTGTGTGCTTCTGGTTCTTCTTCTTCTTCTTCTTCTTCTTCTGCTTCTCCTTCGTCGAATAATTGTCTTCACGTCACTTCGTATCACTCTGCGTATCTCACTGCGTAAGCGTAGTTTAATCCGAAACGGTAACGTCCCGCCGACGTCCGTTACGTCCCCCTCAGTCCTCCTCACCCGAGGGTATCCGCGAGTGCGTACAACATCTGCTTCAGATCCCCGCCGCTGTCCGCGTCCTTTTGAAGCTCCGCGATGTGCTTCGACGCGAGCTTCGCCCGCTTCGCGGCGTGGCGCTTCACCGCGACAGCCTGCTTCTTGAGCTCCTCCCTCGACGCCGCGGCCGCGGCCGCGAGCGTCTCGCGCCGCGCCTCGTCTTCGCCCTCCGCCGCGCCGAAGTCCTTCTTCAGTCGGCGAATCTCAGGGCCGTTCCATACAAGCGATTGTCGGGGTGGAGTTGAAAGGCGTCAGTTGGCGTTGAAAGGCGTCGATGGCGGGGAATGAAAGCGAGGGGTGGGCGGAGAGAGACGACGGCAAAAGTCCTTAAGGATCGGCGTCCACATCGTCGACGCGGTCGTATGGGAACCAGTGTATAGAACGCGCCTCATCCTTGAAGTTGTCGTTGGCCGCGTTGGCGTTCGCGAGGAGCTTCGCGAACCGCGCGCGGGAGTCCTCCGCCTGCGCCCTCAGCGCGTGCTCGTGCGCCGCGCGCTGCGCCTCCGCGGCCGCGTCTAAGCCCGTCGCGGCTTTCTCCGTCTCGGCGCGGAGGTCTTTCACGACCTTGTGGATCTTGTGGCTCGCCTCGTCGCGCTTCTTCCTTCGAAGCGCGTTGGCGACCTGAACGAGCCCCTCGAGGTCGTCCACGTCCTTCGCCGCGCCGGTCAGCGGCGGCGTCGCCGCCGCCGTCTTCTTCGAGGAAGGCGGCCGCTGCGCCGCCTTCTTCGCGGCGGCGCGCGGGCGTGGCGGCGCGGCGGGCGCGGCCGCCGCCTTGGACGCGGTCGACCGGCGCTTCGCGCCCGCGGCGAGATCGAGGTCGTCGAAGTAGGACCCGCCGAGCTCGCCGTCGTCGTCGAGCTCGCTCGCGGTGAGACCGAGGCTGTCGACATCGTCGTGGTCCATCGCGGCGACGTTCTCCTCCTCCTCCTCCTCCTCCTCCTCCTCCACCTCGTCGTCCTCCTCGTCGTCGGAGAGGTCCGCGGCCGCGGCGGAGCGCTTGCGAAGAACCGTCGCGGCGGCGGCGGCGGCGGGCGCGGGCGCCGCTTTCGCCGGCTTCTTCGTCGCGCGCAGATGCTGCTTCCCTCCGGTGCGCACCGCGGGTATGGTCGCCTCCGGCGTCCGCGCCGGGGTCTCGCGCGCAGCCTTGAGCGCGCGCGCGGCTTCCTTCTCGCGCGCGGCCGCCTTGGCCTGGAACTCCGCGAGCTCGCGTTCGACCTCCCTCACGCGCGCGTTCGCCGCCTCGGTGGCGGCGCGCTCTCTCCGGAGCTGCGCCTCGGCCTCGTCGGCGGCGGCTTGACGACGCTCGCGCGCGGCCGCCGCCGCCGCCGCGGCCGCGTCCACCGCCGGCGTCGGCGTCGGCGTCGGCGCCTCGACCGCGACCTGGCGTCTCGCGCGCTTGTTGGACGCGGGCGGCGCCGTCTTCGGCGCCGGCGGGTCGACCGCGGCGGGAGAGTCGCCGTCGCCGAATTCAAACGCGTCGGCGTCGGCGTCGTCCTCCTCGTCCTCGTCGTCATCCTCCTCCTCCTCCTCGACGCGCGCGGGCTTCGCTGCGGTCTTCTTCAGCGCGTCGTTCGCCTTCGCCGCGGCCGCGCGCGTGGGGCGCGCCTTCGCGCGCGCGGGCTCGGGCTCGGGCTCGGGCTCGGGCTCGGGCTCGGGCTCGGGCTCCTCGTCCGCGGCCAGGAACACGAACGCGTCCTCCTCCTCCTCTCGCAGCGGCGACGCGTCGACGGCGGCGAAGTCGACCGCGGGCGCCGCCGGCGCGAATTTCGCGAGCTTGATCTTAATCTGCTCGGGAGACTTCGCCGCGCTCTCCCGCTTCGCCGTCGCCGCGAGCGCCTCGCGCTTCTTCCGGCCGAGCATCCGCGCCCCGAGCGGCGTCTTCGTGGCCGCCGCGGTCTTAAACGCGGTGTCCGGGACGCGTTCGCTCGCGTCGCCGTCGCCGTCGCCGTCGCCGTCGCCGTCGCCGTCTTCGAACGGAGGCGGCGCGGGAAGCGTCGCCTCCTCCTCCGGCGTGCACACGTGCTGCTCTGCGATCATCGCGGACGACCCCTTGCCCTTCGACTTCGCGCGCTGCTTCTCCGCGTGCGGCGCGTTCGGGGACGTCACCGCGTCGTGCCACGCGTCCGTCGTCAACGCGAGCGGCTTCGGAGACGATTTGGTCTTGAGGCGACTCAAGATTCCCGCGGGCTTGGCTTTGTTGAACCACGCGGTGTTCTCGTCTCCCTCGACCTCGGAACGGAGCGTGAAATGCTCTTCGCGGTTCTTTCGCATCGACGCGTCCCACTCGTCGGCGCTCTTGAACCCCGCCTTGATGCGCGCGTCGAGGTCGGCGGTCTTCGCCGACGCGCGTTTCGTCTTCGCCTTGGCCGGCGGTTCCGCGGCGGCGGACTCGTCGAGGTGCCCCTTCTCCGCGCAGTAGGCCGCGGACTTGCGACTCTTCAGGCACGCGGCGCACTTCGGCGTCTTCTGCTTCTTCGCCGGCCTCGGCGCGGGCGCCTCGACCTTCGCCTTCGCGCGCGTGGACGCGCGCGTGGCCCTGGCGCGTCCGCTTCGCTTCGGCGGGGCAATCTCCATCTCGGGATCGGACGCGTCCTCCTCCTCCTCCTCCTCCTCGGGCTCGGGCTCGGGCGCCTTCTCCTCCTCCTCCTCCTCCTCCTCCTCGTCTTCGTCGCTGGAGGAGTCCTCGGGCACGCCCTGCGTCTCCGAGTCCTCGGGCACGCCCTGCGTCTCCATCATCGGCGGCGGCGTCTTCGCCGTGCGGCTGCGCGTCGCGCGGCGCTCCGGCGGGGCGGGCGAGGCCGCGGGCGGGGCGCCTCTCTTCTCCGGCGTCGTCTCCGTCGGGTTCGACTTCGACCCAGAGCTCAGGAGCTTCTCGAGACCGTTCATCTTCGCCGCGGGAGAGGCGGAGGCGGCGGCGGAGGCGGCGGGGGCGTCTTCCGCCGCCTTCGCGGCCGCGCGCGTCGCCTTCTTCCACGACGACGCCTTCGCCGCGGGGGACGAGGGGACGACGACCTCGGTCTCTTCGTCGCCGCCGCCGACGTCGGCGGCGGCGGGGGACTCCGGGATCGCGTCCGGGTCCGTACCGGTGATGTCGTCGACGGTGTTGAATCGGTCAGGCGACGGCGGCGACATCGCGCGCGCTCGGTGCTGCGACGGCGGCGAAGACGACGGCTCGCGGTCGCGCCCCCCGCTCGCGTCCACGGCGGAGAGCGTAAATCGCGGCGGCGCGTCGACGTCGACGTCGACGTCGAACGTGACGTTCTTCTTCTCTCCGCTCCGCGGCTTGTTCTCTGGCAACGTGTCCTCCGCGAACGACCGCGAACCGAGCGTCCCCTGCGTTCCGACCGGCGGCGTGGGATCGACCGGCTTGAGGGCGATCTTGGGGAGGCGCGCCGAGCCGCCGACGCCGACGCCGACGCCGACCCGCGCCGCCGCGTCCGAACCGAGTTGGACGCTTCCGAACGCGGCGCTGCCGCCGCCGCTCTGCCTGCGCCCGCCGGCGCCGCCGCTTCCGACGACGCCGGCGAAGAGGTCGCCGTGCGTCCGCGAGAGCCACTTCATGCGGTCGCGGACGACCGGGAACGTCGTCTTCGTGAACTCGAACGACATCCACGCGTCGTCTTCGACGTCGACGACGTCCGCGGGGACCCCCGCCGGGGGCTTGCGAACGCCGATGCACAGGACGACGCCGCCGTCGACGCGGACGCAACGAACGACGTCGCCCCAGGTCAGGTCAACGACGCGCTTGTTCTCACCGCCGGACTCGAACGACATGCCGTGGACGCCGTTGAAGTGCACCCGCGCGTCGTCGATGGCGTCGCCGAGGTTCGTGACGATTTTTTTCGCCGTCGCCGTCTTCACGAGCGCTCTCGTGCCGAGCGCGGCGTTGACGTTCATCACGAGCGCGCGCGCGCCCTCGTCGAAGCCCGCGCTCTCGCGCGCGAGGTCCGCGCCAGCGAACTCGGTCGCGAGCTGCGCGAAGTTCTGACGCGCTTCGCCGAAGCCTTTCGCGACGACGTCGAGGGCGAGACCGCCGGCGTCGACGCAGTGGTGGAGCGTCTTGGCGCATGCGACTTGCGCGTGGAAATCCGCGCCCGTCGCGAGCGTCGCGAACACGTTCGCCATCGTCTTCGGCATCCCCGCGGTGTGCACATTCCCGGCGCCGCTCGCGACCGGGATGTCGTCTGAGTCGATCAGCTTCGCGAGCGTCGTCGCGTTATTCCGGTGCGTCGACGCGATCGTCAGCAGAAGCGCGGAGAGGTCGCGTCGCGCCGCCGGCGGCGTGGACGCGCGAAGCGCCGAGTCGAGGACGCCGGCGACGAGCGCGTCGGCGACGATCTTGTGCTTGGCCGGGGCGCCGACGAGGACGTCGATGATCAGGCGCGTGAACTCCGCGTGGAGAAGCGCGAGATCCGCGGGCTGTGGACGGCGTGGGAGGGGAGGCGCGGTCAGTCGGCTCGGCGGGGGGAAACACGGCTGCGGAGACCTGGACGAGACGTCGAGAGGAAAGAAAAAGAAGGAGGGCGCGCGCCGCACCTCGACGCCGTCGGCGGCGTCGACGGCCGCGTGGTAACAGCTCGCGAACCGCGTGAACGCGTCGTGGAGGATCACGACGACGGACTGCTTGTCCGGGGGCTTGAACCTGCGCGCGCGCGCGATGGCGGGTGGGCGGTGGAGTCAGCGCGCGTCGCGAAAACACGCGGAAGGGAACGTTCAAACGAGCGAACGCGCCGCGGGGGCTGGGCGGGGCGCACTTGTCCATGTTCTCGCACGGCGTGAGCGCCGCGACGCGACGCAGCGCGTCGCGCACGCGCTCGATGTCGATGTTGCCTTCATCGCGCACCATCTCCTGCGCGATACGTCGCGCGCGCGCGCGCTCGCGGGTCAGTCGCCGTCGCGCGGGGGGGTAAAACGAGGGAGGCGGGGCCGCGGCGGGTTGAGGGGGGGGGGGGGGGTGAGGGGGGAAAACGGACGCGCCTGCTGCAGCGCGCGGCACTGCCTGTGATACTCCCGCCGCGCGTCCTTCGGCGGCGATGCCTCGAGCGCCGCGGGCGCGCTGTTGGGTTGCATGACGCGCGTCGGGGTGCGCGCGTGCGAGTGAACGAAGGCTGCGCGTTCGAAGCGCTCGAGCGTTCGAAGCGCGTTGGAAATTATGCACTCGCCCTTTGACTGGGAAAATTAACTTGTCGATAGACCGTAAGCGTCAAACGAATCGGTCGAGCTCCGCGCGTGACTGGCGCGGGGCTCGTCGCGTCGAGAGATGCCTCCCGCCTCCTCGCTCGGTCTTTTCGACGCGCACGACGCTCACGTCGCGCACGACAACGCATCCAGGATGGCTAAGCGCACGAAGAAAGTCGGTGCGTATCGCGCCGCGACGTCGCGCGCGACGTCCGCGACTCGGAGCCGTCGCATCCGGCGCGGTTCCGTCGCGCGCGGTCTTTTAGGGTTTTTCCCATCGCGCGACGCGGTCGCGTCCGCCGGGAGGGCCGCGCGAGGGCGCACGACGCGGCGACGCCATAGGCGTCGCCGCGTCTCGCATCTCACGCGCGGCTTGACCGCGTCTGCGTCGTCGACGCGGCGTCGTCGACGTCGCGTCGGCCTCCCGCGCGCGCGTTTCCGTCGCGCGTCGTCGTCGTCGTCCAGGCGCATCGCACCACCATCCATCGTCAGACCCTGACGACGCGAGACGTCGCCGTCGCCCGCCCGCGCCCACCTCCAACCGCTCGAACCGCATCGCTGACCGCCCCGCCCCCCCCCTCTCCCCCGCCCTCCTCCATCGCCGCAGGGATCGTCGGCAAGTACGGCACCCGTTACGGCGCGTCCCTTCGCAAGGTCGTGAAGAAGCAGGAGGTGTCTCAGCACTCCAAGTTTTTCTGCGACTTTTGCGGCAAGTACGCCATGAAGCGTCAGGCCGTCGGCATCTGGAAGTGCGCGGGCTGCAAGAAGACCAAGGCGGGCGGGGCGTACACGCTCAACACCTCCGCCGCGGTCACCGTGCGATCCACGATCCGCCGTCTCCGCGAGAACACCGAGAAGTGATCGTCCGACCGTAGGGTTTTTTAGTCGGAGAGGATGGACGGTTCAGGTTCAGGTTCGGGCGGCGTCTCGAAGCGTGGGTGTGGTTACCTCGGTAGTCAAACTGTTGTGATGCACGCATAGGCATCATCGCACTATTCATTTCGTTCGTTAATTCGTTCGTTCGTTCGTTATTTCGTTATTTCGTTCGTTCGTTCGTCGTCACTCAAGACACGCGTCCTACGTCTTCGCGCTCTCGAGCTCGTTCACCATGCCGCGGTCTCAGTCTGAAAACGCCTCCGGTACCCGCGCGCGCTCACCGCCCCGCGGCTCGAAACGTCTTCTCCAGGTCCGCGCTCGTCTCGACGACGTCCACGTCGAACGCGGTCCACGCCGTGGAGCACGACGGCGGCGGCGCGCGCGCGAGAAGCCCGGTGCCGCTCGCCCAGCGCTGCGGCGCGGACCGCTCCGGAGACACGAACGGCGACGTCGACGGCGACGGATCCGGATTTGTCGCGTCTCCGCGGCGTTTCCCTCCGCCGGGACCCTCCACGTTCCCCGTCGCGAGCGCGGCCAGCGCCTCCGCGGCCGGAAGCGCCGTACCGGGGCTCACCGGGCTCGGCGCCGGGTCATAGTCCTCGTCGTCGTCGCGGCGGCGCGCCGCGGCGGCGACGACGCGGCTCTCCGCGAGGTGCCGGGGGAGCGGGAACGTCCGCCCGACGCCGAGGCGCGTCGCCGTTGGCGTCGGCGTCGGCGTCGGCGCGGGGGTGCCGAAGGTGCCGAAGGTGCCGACGGTGCCCACCGGGGGGCATCGCCCGCTCCCCGCGATCGCCGCGCCCGCGGCTCTCGCGGCTGCGACGGCGGACTCTTCCAACTCTTTCGCGGTGACCGCGCCGACTCGGACGCCGTCCACCGCGGCGGATTGTATCAGCCGTATCGCGTTCGCGGACATCGCGCGCGCGATCGCGTTCTGCGCGAACGCCGCGGCGATCATCCGCACCGCGGTCGCGTGCGCGTTCTCGAGCGCGAGAAGCGCGCGCTCGCGCGTCTCCGCGGCGGCGGCGGCGGCGCCCTCGGGTCCTCCCTCCGCGGCTTCTTCGTCTTCGTCTTCATCGTCGTCGTCGTCGTCGTCGTCGCGGAGAGGACGCCGCGGCCTGACCGTCCACGGATCGTCGTCGTCGTCGTCGTCGAACGCGAGGACGTGCTTCGGCGCGGCGTGCCCCGCGTCGACCGAACCCGAATCCGCGGTCGCGAGACGCGTCGCGAGTCGATCGAACCGTCTCATCCGCGCGCGGACGACGTGTTCTCGCGCCGCAGCCGCGGACTTCGCGAGTCGCAACGCGGCGCGCGTGCACGGCGTCGGAGGGTCGGCGTCGTCCGCGTCGCTCGCGTCGTCGCGTTCCTCCTCTTCCTCGGCTGCGTCGTCGTGATCAGTGAACGCGCGCTCGTCGGCGTCGTCGTCGGCGTCGTCGTCGGCGGCGGCGTCGGCGGCGTCGGCGGCGTCTTCTTTCTCGCCGCGATCGTCGTCGTCGGCGTCGTCGGCGGCGGCGGCGTCGGCGTCGGCGGCCTTCTCCTTCATCTTCATCTTCATCTTCTTCTTCAACCTCTCGCCGCTGATCTTCCCCTCGACCCTCAACGCCACGATGAACTCGCCCTTGTTCATACCCCGCAGCATCTCTCTGAACGCCGCGTCTCGCGCGTACTCCTCCGCGGGAAAGTTCAGCTCCGCGCTCCACCCTCGGAACTTTAGGGTCGAGGGTCCATACGAAGCGACGTCGGGGTGGAGTTCAAAGGCGTCAGTTGGAGTTGAAAGGCGACGATGGCGGGGATCGAAAGCGAGGGGCGGGCGGAGAGATGCGCCGGGAAGTAAAGTCCTCAAGGAACGGCGTTCACCACGCCGACGGGGTCGCACGGGGACCAGCGTAAACAGGGACGCACCTTAATCGCGCTCTTGTCGTACGCGCGCGCGGCGCCTTCGGCCGTCGCGAACGACCCCAGGTGCCTCTGCCTCCCCGCGTCCCATATGTGCGCCTCCCAACGCCCGGTCCGCTTGTAGCACGTCACCCCGCGGAAGTTGCTGAAGTCGCTCCGCGGGCCTCGGCGGCTGCCTTTGAACTTGGAGGAAGGCCGCGACGCGCGCTCGCGCGCGCGGCCGTCGGCGTCGAAGCCGCCGCCGCCTTCGCCGTGGCCGCCGCCGTTCGTCTGACGATCGCCGCGCGTCTTCTCGCGTCTTCGCCCCAGCGCGGTCGTGTCGACGTCGACGTGCTCCCCGCGCGGCCCGCGCGCGAGTGCGCGCCACTCCGCCGGCGTCATCGACTTCGCATCGCCGACGTCGTCTCGCGCGAGCGCGGCGGCGACGGCGGCGGCGACGGCGGCGGCGTCGTCGCCCGGCGGCGCGAGGTGCTTCAGAAGCGACGCGCCGCCGTCTCGGAGGAACTTGAGGCCGACGAGCCCGGTGTTGCCCATCTCGAGGTCCTCCTCCGGGTCGAACTCGATCTTCGTCGGCGGGCGGCGCTTCTTTCTCGCGGGGGGTGGGGCGTCGGTCGTCGTCGTCGGCGTCGGCGTCGTCGTCGTCGTCGTCGTCGTCGGCGGCGGCGGCGGCGGCTCCTCGGGCGCGTGGGCCGCCGTCTCCGCGGCGGCTCTCGCCTCCGCGGCTAAGCGCTCTCGCAGCTCGAACCGCGCGCGCTTCGACATCTTGCTTCTCTCTCGCTTCGACATCTTCGCCGGGTCCTTCGGCGGCATCGAAGACGCCGGCGGCGGCGGCGGCGGCGCCGACGGGCGCTTCCGAGGTTCTTTTGCCGCGTTTTCCACCTCCGCCTCCTCCTCGAACGCGACCGGCGACGGGCACCGCGGCGGCGTCGGCGTCGGCGACCGCGCGCGCTTCCTCTCGCCCGCGCCCGTGGGCTTCACGCAGCGGTACGTCACCGCCTCCTCCCGCGCGTCCCCGCGCGTGCGGATCGGCGGCGCGGGCGGCGAGCGCGAGCGCGACCGCGAGCGCGACCGCGACCGCTTCTTCTCGCCCCCGCCCGACGCGAGAAGCTGGAGGAGCTCCGCGCCCTCGCGCGCGCGACGGTCGTCCCGCCGCGGCGCCCTCCCGCCGCCGCCGCCGCCGCATCGCGCGTCGTCGCGGAGGACGTCGCGGTCCGCCGCGAGCGCGTCGCGCGACGTCGGCGGGCGCGCGCGCGGCGCGTCTCCGGCGCGCGCGACGCGCGCGGCGTTCTCCCGCCAAAGAGACGACGACGCGGGGGCCCCGGGACGAGGGAGAGCAGGCGCGCGAGCGACGTCGTCGCTCGCGCGCGGCGTCGCGGCGTCCGCGTCGACGTCGTCGAACGCGAGCGCGCGTGCGCCGGTGCGGTCGCGGCGCGGCCGCGGCAGCGTTTCGCGCGCTTCGAGGTCGATCATGGCGCTCGCGAGCGCGGGAGGACGCGGTCGCGCGCGGACGAGTGTCCCCGCGTCGTCTTTTGAGGTGACCCTTGCCTTGGAGGTCCTTGGATCGGGCGCGGGTCCCTTAAGTTTTTCACCCATAGCTCGGTTTCAACACTTGATCGCGTATCCTTTCAACTGACCGATGAACATTTTTTGTATGCATGGAACGACCCTGAGAGAGTCGGCTCGGGTCCGGGTCGCCAGCACGCTGACGCGACGAGAGCTCGTCCGCCGGGAGGTCCACTTCCCCCGCGCGCGCCGCACGTCGACGCCGCCGGAGTCGTCCCTCGACGCTCGCGGACCCTTCGCGTCGTCCCTCGCGTCCGTCCGCGTCGCGCGGCGCCCTCGCGCGCGCGCTCGCGTCGTCCCCGCGCTCAGATCCGGCCCCCCGCGCCCGGCGAGAGCGGTGGCATCGCGTTTGGGGAGGGGTACAGTCATCAGTCGCGGAATCGGAATCGCGCGCCCAGCCCGCCCGTCTTCACGACAAACATGGCGACCGCGCCCGCGCCCGCGCAGCAGGAGATCACGAAGTTCTCGCAGATATGCAAGAACTGCAACGTCCCGACGGCGATCATCGAAGACCACCAGCAGGGCGACCTCGTGTGCACGGAGTGCGGACTCGTGCTCGAGCAAGGCGTGATAGACGAGACGTCGGAATGGCGAACCTTCTCGGACAGCGACAAGGGCGGCGCGGACCCGTCGAGGACCGCGGGGCCGACGAACCGCATGCTCGCGCACGGCGGCCTCGGGACGTCCATAGGCAGGAACCCGGACGGGACGTACAACCAGACCCTGACGCGCTTGCACAACCGAGGCGCGAACCCGGACAAGGCGCTCATCGCGGCGTTTGGAAAGATCAACGAGCTCGCGGACCACCTAGGGGTGACGTCCGTGGTGAAGGACGGCGCGTGCGACGTGTACCGCATGGTCGTCAAGCCCGGGGTGTCCATCGCGGGCAAATCGCAGAACGCGATGTTCGCCGCGTGTCTGTACATCTCTTGCAGACAGGAGGGGACGAATCGGACGTTTAAAGAGATTTGCGGAGGCGCGGTGAACACGACGGTGAAGGAGATTGGAAAGTGCTACAAGTTCATCGTGAAGACGATCGACGGCCTCAACACGACGATGATGGAGCAGATGATCACCCCGGAGAAGCTCACGAACCGCTTCTGCGGCAACTTGGGGCTCGCGAACTTGGAGTTCTTGAAGCTCGCGACGACGGTGATCGGCACGTTCAACAACCTCCGCCTCAGCGAAGGGCACAAGAGCGAAAAACAGCCCGCGTCCGTGGCCGCCGCGGCGATCTGGCTCTGCGTGCAGATCATGGACAAGCAACACGAGATCACGCTGCGGAAGATCAGCGAAGTCTCCGGGATGGCGGAGACGACGATCACCACGAGCTACGTGGACATGTATCCGTACGCCACGCGAATGCTCCCTCGCGCGTACGTGGAGCGGGCCGCGCGGCTGCAGGCGCCGGACCTGGGGAAGGACGAGAAGGCCGCGATCGCGGCGGGGTTGGCGAACCGCGACCAGCTCGAGCTGTTGTTAGGGGACGTCCCCGGCGCGGGCGGGGACGGAGGCGGTGGCGGGGGGGTGTGACGGGACGGGACGGACGCGCGCGCGAGGTAGTATTCTCCGTCGTAGGTATTATTCTCCGTCGGCGTCGTTAACGTTTCGTTCGCAGGCGCGCGTCGTCGTCGTCGTCGTTCTCGACGCGCGCGCTCTCTCTTCTCTCGTCCGACCGACGCTCGCTTCGCGTGGAAAGCGGTCGGTCAGTCGGTCGCGTCGCTCGCTTCACTTCCCCGCGACCTTCATCGCGCCCTCCTTGAGCGACGCCACGACCCCCGGATCCGCGAGCGTCGACGTGTCCCCGAGCTCGCTCAGCTCGATCCCCGGGTTCTCCGCGAGCTTCCGTAGGATCCGTCGCATGATCTTCCCGCTTCGAGTCTTCGGAAGCCCCTCGGTGAACTGAATCGCGTCCGGGGTGGCGATCGGGCCGATCTCCTTCCGCACGATCGCCTTCAGGCTCTTGACGAGGTCGTCGTCCGCCTCGGCGCCGTCCTTCAACACGACGTAGCAGTAGATCCCCGCGCCCTTGATCTCGTGCGGCATCCCGACGACCGCAGCCTCGGAGCACGACGGGTGCAGCACGAGCGCGGACTCCACCTCCGCGGTGCCCATGCGATGCCCGGAGACGTTGATGACGTCGTCGACGCGGCCGGTGATCCAAAAGTAGCCGTCGGCGTCGCGGCGGCAGCCGTCGCCGGAGACGTAGTAGCCCTTGAACATGGAGTAGTACACGGACTCGAAGCGGTCGTGATCGCCGTAGCAGCTTCGAGACGCGGACGGCCACGGCTTCTTGATGGCGAGGAAGCCGCTGGCTTCGCCCTCGAGCTCGTTACCTTTGTCGTCCAGAACGACGGGCTGGACGCCGAAGAAGGGCAACGTCGCGCTTCCGGGCTTCAACGGCGTCGCCCCCGGCAACGGCGTGATCATGAAGCTGCCCGTCTCCGTCTGCCAGTACGTGTCCACGATCGGGCACCGCGACTCGCCGACGACGGTGTAGTACCACCGCCACGCCTCCGGGTTGATCGGCTCGCCGACGCTGCCGAGAATGCGAAGCGACGACTTGTCGTACTTTTCGACGTACGCGTCTCCGCTCTTCATCAGTGCGCGCACGGCGGTGGGCGCGGTGTAAAACTGGTTCACCTTGTGCTTCTCCACGATCGCCCAGCACCTTCCCGCGTCCGGGTACGTCGGCACGCCCTCGAACATCACCGTCGTCGCCCTCGCGAGCAGCGGCCCGTAGACGATGTAGGAGTGTCCGGTGATCCAACCGATGTCCGCGGTGCACCAGTAAATCTCCCCCGGCTTGTAGTCGAACGTGTACTTGAACGTCGCGTGCGAGCCGATCATGTACCCCGCGGTGGAGTGCACGATCCCCTTCGGCTTTCCCGTGCTCCCGGAGGTGTACAGCATGAACAGCGGGTGCTCGCTGTCGACCCACTCGCAGTCGCACTCGGAGTCCGCCTTGGACATCTCGTCGTTCCACCACGTGTCTCTACCGTCCACCATCGGGCACGACCCGTCGAGCCGCTTGAAGACGATCACGCTGGAGACGCTGAAGTCGCCCGCGCCGAGCTCGAGCGCGGCGTCGACTTGCGTCTTGAGCGCGACCGGCTTCGCGCCGCGCATGACCGCGTCGCAGGTGACGACGACGTCCGACTGTCGGACGTCGGGGTGGAGTTCAAAGGCGTCAGAAGCGGAGTTGAAAGGCGTCGATGGCGAAGATTGAAAGCGAGGGGTGATGAGCGGAGAGATGCGCCGGGAAGTAAAGCCCTCAAGGATCGGCGTTCACCACGCGAACGGGATCGTACGGGGACCAGTGTGATGAGAACGCGCCTTGGCGTCGTGCATGCGTCCGCGAATCGCCTCGGGGGAGAATCCGCCGAAGACGACGGAGTGAATCGCGCCGAGCCGCGCGCACGCGAGGCACGCGACCGCGAGCTCCATCACCATGGGCATGTAGAGCGTCACGGTGTCGCCCTTCTTCACGCCCTTGGCCTTGAGCACGTTGGCGAACTTTTTCACCATCGCGAGGACTTCCGAGTAGGTGTATTTCGCATCCTCGGACGGCTCGTTGCCCTCCCACAGGATGGCAACCTCGTCGCCGTGTCCCTCGAGGACGTGCTTGTCCAGCGCGTTGTAGCATATGTTCGTCTTCCCGCCCTGGAACCAGTCGATGAAGATCTTCCCGTCGTTCATGTTGAAGTTATACTTCGGCCCGACGGAGACGAAGGGCGTCTCCCAGTGGAATTGGCGCGCCATGTCGCCGAAGAAGGTCTCCGGGTCGTCGATGGACGCTCGGTACATCTTCGCGTACTCCGCCATGGACTTGACGTGCGCGTCCTTCGCGAGCGCCGCGGGGGGGTCGTAGACGTGCTGCTGCGACTCCTCGGAGATTTGTGCGCCCGCCGCGGCGGCGACCTCGGAGGCGTTCATCGTCCTATCTCGCTTCGATTCGACGACGACGAGAGGATGAGGAGAATGTCGACGGATTCCTCCTAACCCTCGACGACGCGGCGACGACGATTCGCGGAACGATTCCGCGCGCGTCCGACGGTGAGATGTCGCGGACGCGAGGTGTCTCGACGCGCAGGATGCGGCTCGCGCGCTCGCGGCAATGGTTGGAACGGGGGAACACGCTCGAGAGCGCCTCGGAGCGGACGATGGACACCGCGCGAGGGTAAGGTTCGCGCCTCTCGGAACTGACGACGCGATGATTCAGCAGAGCGCTTCGCTGAAAAAATCTTCTTCGAGCTCGTCGCGTCGCGTCGTCGCGCGCGAACTCGAATTCGATTCGTTCCCCGACGCCCGCAGATCCGCGGGCGCTCGCGTCATGGCCGGCACGAACGCCGCGGGGTGCGTCCCCGAGCGGAGCCGCGAGCTCCTCGCCGCGGAGCACGCGGCGCCCCCGTCGCCGCTCCTCGTGAACGCGCCGAAGCGCTCCCCGGGAGACCCGCCCGCGACCAAGCCAGATTTCAGCGCGATGCCGCCGCCCCCCACCGCGCTCCTCGGCAAGCTCAGCGCGTTCCTGCCGCAGATGAAAGCCGCGAACGACTCGCTCGCGGAGGCGATGAAGACGCGACCCGCGAGCGAGTTCGACGTCGAGTGCGTGGACGAGGAAGGCGGCGAATCGCACGTCGCCATGGACGTCGGCCTGGGCGTCGTGGAGTTGAACACCGAAGACGCGGTCGCGAAGGCGACGGCGAACGCCGGGTTCGCAGTCGTGGAGAACGACGACGGAGGGCGCGCGAAGGTGGTGGACGACGACGACGACGACGACGACGAGATCTTGATAGGCGCAGGCGCGAAGCGCGGGAGGGACGGCGCGGCGAAGAAAACCCCGGGGATCGAGGTGCTCAACTGACGACGACGACGACGCGGCGCGACGTAGTAGCGCCGGCGACGCGGCGCGGGTGACCTCTGATGAGCATACTACCTCACGTTACCCTCCTCGACGACTAGCCCACGTCTCGTCTCGTCTCGGCGTCGCTCACATCCCCAACTCCTTGAGCTTCTCGATCACCTTCCGCTCCGCGAACACCTGCAGAAGCTGCATGTCCGCGGGGAGGTTCACGCTCGCGACGACGCATCGTCCCGTGCGCTTCGCCAGCCGAACCGCCAGCGCGTTCGACAGCGAGTCCGTCATCGTCATCGCCCCCCCACCGCCACCTCCCCCCCCTCCTCCCGCGTTGAACAGCGTCGTCGCAATGGGCGTCGACGACATCCGCGTCTCGATCGCCATCCCGAGCTCGTTCATCGCGCCGCGCGCCGCGTCGCCGACGCCCTCGCCGATCCAGACGTACAGCTGCGCGTCGCCGAGGAGAACGATCTGGACGCGTATCGTCGCGCCGGGGGCTTCGCACGCGAACGCGTGCTCGACGACGTCCCCGCGCGGGGGGACCTCCACGATCGTCGCGGCGTCCGGCGCGGGGGTTTTCGGGACGGGGAAGTCGAGGTCCTCCTCGTCGGAGTAGTCCGCCATCGCGGACGGACGACGCGAGACGCCGCGCGTCGCGTTGTGATCGGTCGATCGAACGCGCGCACTGTTGTACAACTACTCATCAGCCAAAATTTTAGTCGTGGAGTTCTGTCACGAAATCGCGACCGCGCGTCGCAGCCTTCGACGGCACAGTCCGCGTACCGCAGAGCGCGCGAGCGTTAAGGTGAAGCTGCGTACGTACTGTATATTACAGCGCGAGCTAAGCGTGTGAGTCTACGTATGATACAGCGCGAGGTAATAAATATGTAGCGTATACGTCGCGACGGATGGCTCGGGAGCGGCGCGCCCTCCTCCTCTCGCTCCGTCCCGTCGGGTTCCTCCGTCTCGTCGTCAGTCTGGGGTTCGTTCCGTTCCGTTCCGTTCTCACCGAAAAATCAATCACATCACGATCACGATCACGATCACGCCGCGCGCGCCGTCGCGGCTCGGCGGAAGAACCCCCCGCTCGTCCCCCCCGGCGAGTTCGGCGCGATCGGCAGCTCCATCGACCCCCCGCGTTCGCGCTTAGGGTCGAGGGTCCATACGAGCGAATGTCGGGGTGGAGTTGAAAGGCGTCAGTTGGAGTTGAAAGGCGACGCGGGCGGGGATTGAAAGCGAGTGGTGGGCGGAGAGAGACGCCGGGAAACGTCCTTAAGAAACGGCGTTCACCACGCCAACGCGGTCGTATGGGGACCAGTGTATAGAACGCACCTTAGAGCGCGGCGACCCCGGCGGCGACTTGGACCCGTCCGCCTCCGTCCGGTCGTCGTGAAACTTCGTCAGGCTCCGATCAAAACTCGTCGTCCCCGAGCTCTTCGGCCCGCCCGTGGTGAGCAGCACCTCGCACAGCTCCATGTACGTAAACGACTTGGCCTCGGACGTGAGCTGCAGCAGCCACTTGAAGTCGACGTACCCGACGTGCTTGGCGCCGACGCCGCACACTTTCGCGAACAAAACCTCCCCCCGCGCGTGGGTCAAGTCCGGACCCAACAGCTCGCAGTCCTCCAAAACCTTCCCCCACGTCGTGGAGGACATCGCGCCCGGTCTGCCGCCGCCGAACGTGCAAAACGCGTCGAACACCATCTCGACGCCGGGCACGCTCCTCGGCACGCTCCGCCCCGCTTTCCACCCAAACTTTTCATTCTTTTTCCGCTCCTCCTTCTCCACGCCAAACTTTGAGACGTACTGCCCCGTGTACGTGCTCTTATCGTCGTGGAACCGCGCGTACTCCGCCTTTGTGCCGCTGCAATCCGGCGCCGCGCGCGCGATCTGTCCGCCGATCTCGTCGAACGTCGTCCCCTTCTCCTCCGCGACGAGGACGAGCATCCACAGAAAGTCGCGAAACGACAACAGCTTCCCGCCCTCCGCCACCTTGGCGAAGATGATGTCCGCGCCAATCTTGTTCAGCTTGCGATCGAGGAGGCCGCACTCGTTCGTGAGCTTGCCCCAGACTTTGATGTTCATGTCCTGGCCGTTCCCGCCGCCGAAGGAGCAGAACTGCGCGTACGACTCCTTCAGGCCTGCGGGGACGGAGTTCACCGCGGGCGCGACGCGACCGTCTTTCCAGTGCTTCCTCTCTCGCGTCGACTTGGCCTTTTCGAGGCCCGCGATGCTCGCGGCGGCGCCCGTGAACGTCTCCTTGTCGTCGTAAAACTTCGTGTACTCCGCCTTCGTGCCGCTGCTCTGCGGGCCGCCGGTCATGACGATCGCGTGCGTCACCGTCGCGTACGTCACCTGCTTCGCCTCCGCGATGCGGTCGCACGCCCATAAAAAGTCCACGAAGGTAATCTTTCGCTCCCCCTTGGGCTTCACCTTTTGAAACACGATGTCCGCGGCGGTGGAGTTGAACGCTCGGTCGACGAGCCCGCACTCGATGCACAGCTTCGCGAACTTGACGTTGTCCATGCTCCCGGGCTGCCCCCCGCCGAACGCGCTGAACGCGTCGAAGACGGGCCGCAGGCCCTTCACCGGCTCGGGCGGCTGGGGTTGAGTTGAAAGGCGTCAGTTGGAGTTGAAAGGCGTCGAGGTGTGTCGGGATTGAAAGCGAGGGGTGGGCGGAGAGACACTCCGGGAAGAAAAGTCCTTAAGGATCGGCGTTCACCACGCCAACGCGGTCGTATGAGGACCAGTGTGAGATAGAACGCACCTGCCGCTTCGATTTCCACGCGTCGTGCGACTCGTGGACGCGCGTCGACTTGGAAGCGCCCGCGATGGCCGCGTACGCGCCCGTGTACGTGCTCTTATCGTCGTGGAATTTGGTCCACAGCGCCGCGGTGCCGCTGCTCGCGGGGCCGTCGCACGCGCACACGTGCTCCACGAGGTCTTCGTACGACGCGTTCTTCTCTTGCGCGACGAGCTGCAACGCGCGCGTGAAGCCGTCGAGCTTGATGACGCGTTCGCCGTGCGCCTTGATCTTAGTGAAGATGATGTCCGCGCGCGTCGGCGTGAACTTCTTGTCGAACAGATTGCAGTCTTTCATCACCTTGCAGAACGTCTTCTGGTTCATGAGGTCCTTGTCGCCCTTCCCGAACGCGCAGTGCGCGTTGAAGAGCTTCTTGAGCCGCGGCGTCGGCTTGACGTTTTTCAACTCGCGCTCCCAGTTGGACGGGACGTGACGCATCACGGACGACCGACCGACGTTCGCAGCGTACGCGCCGGTGAAGTTGTCCGGGTCCGCGAACTTGACGTACTCCGCGCGCGTCGCGTTCGACTGCGGGCCGCCCTTGGCGTTGATGAGCTCGCACACGTCGGCGAAGGACTCGCCGCGAAGTTCCGCGACCATGGCGACGGCGTCTTTGAACTCCTCGAAGTCGACGCGTCGCTCGCCCTTCGTCTTGACCTTTTGGAACGCGAGGTCCACCTGCACCGCGGTGAAGGTCTTGGAGTTTTGCAAGCCGCAGTCGCGGCAGAACTTGGCCCACTTCGCGCCGTCCATGTGCTGCAGCTTCTCCTTCTTGTTCGCGGAGCCGTAATTCGCGAACGCGAGGAAGACGCGATTGAGCGACTGCAAAACCCCGCGCGGGCGCGGCGGCGACTGCAGCGACGTGATCGTCGGCGCGAAGTCGTCGCTGTTTTCGCTCAGGCCGTCGTCGCCGACGCTGTACGGCGTCGGCGAGCCGCCTCGGCTGGAGAGCGGCATCGGATGTACCGCGGTTTCGTCGTCGTCGACCGACGTGTCCAGAAACGTCCCCTGCCGCGGATAAACAACGAGGGGGAGGGATGGATTTCCCGATTCGGCGCGGGCGTTTTCGCGTCCGCGAGAGATCCCGAGCGACGTCCTCGCGTCCGACGGTGGCGCGTTCGCCCGCTCGCGCGCGCCGCGGCGATCGACGTGCGCGTTCGAGCGCGCGTGCGATGCGCGCGCGTGCGTGGGTCTGACCCCGGCGGGGCGTGCGGCGGGCGGGTGTCTACAAGATCCTAGTCACGACTTTTTTCGCAGCACGAAAACGAAATTTTCTCGCGCGCCGCGCCGGTCGAACGCGCCCCGAACTTTTCAAAGCGCGTCTCGGTTTCAACGTTTCATCGCGCATACGTTCAACTGACCGATCAACGTTTTTTTGACAAGACAGGACGGCATCGGCACCCCACGATCGACCGTCCGCACATCGCGACGCGCCGTCGCCGCCGCCGCCGCCGCGAGGAGGAGGATGCTCGCCGCGATCCTCGCGTCGCCGCGTCGGTCGCCGAACGGCGACGACGCGTCGTCCTCCTCCTCCTCCTCCTCCATCCCGCGCGGCGTCCTCCCGCTCGTCCTCGGCGTCGCGCTCCTGATCCGCGTCGCGACGTCCACGCATCCGCACAGCGGAGAGAGCGCCCCGCCGTTGTACGGCGACTACGAGGCGCAGCGGCACTGGATGGAGATCACGACGTCGCTGCCGCTTCGCGAGTGGTACGTCCACGCGCCGGGAAAGGGGAACGACATGATGTACTGGGGCCTGGATTACCCGCCGCTGACGGCGTATCAGGTGCGTTCTATCTGATACACTGGTCCCCATACGACCGCGTTCGCGTGGTGAACGCCGATCCTTAAGGACTTTTCCCGTCGTCTCTCTCCGCCCATCACCCCTCGCTTCAATCCCCACCCTCGGCGCCGTTTCAACTCCACCTGACGCCTTTCAACTCCACCCCGACGTCGCTTCGTATGGAACGACCCTCAGAGCTACGCGTACGGGAAGGTCATCGGCGCGGTGGACCCGGAGACGACGGCGCTGATGTCGTCGCGCGGGCACGAGTCGTACCGCTCGAAGCTCCTCATGCGCCTCAGCGTGCTGCTGTCGGACGTCGTCTTCGTCTTCCCCGCGACGCTCCTCTTCGCGAGGGCGCACTACGCGCGCGAGTCGCCGGCGAGGAGGACGTGGGCGGTCGCGTTGGCGACGCTCGCGCCCGCGCAGATCCTCATCGATCACGGGCACTTTCAGGCGCGTTCACGTCCACACTGGTTCCCATACGACCGCGTCGGCGTGGTGAACGCCGATCCTTAAGGACTTTCTCTCCCGGCGCATCTCTCCGCCCAGGGTCCCTCGCTTTCAATCCCGACACACCTCGACGCCTCTCAACTCCGCTTCTGACGCCTTTGAACTCCACCCCGACATTCGTCGCTTCGTATGGACGATTACCCTCATCAGTACAACGGGATATCCCTCGGGCTGACCGTCTACGCCGTCGCCGCCATCGTCGCCGATCACGAGCTGCTCGGGAGCGCGCTGTTCGCGCTCGCGATGAACCACAAGCAGATGAGCGCGTACTACGCCCCCGCGTTCTTCGCGTATCTGCTCGGACGGTGCCTTCGCCGCGAGAGGCCGCTTCTCGAAATTGTCAAGCTCGGCGCCGTCGTGATCGGCGTCTTCGCGACGCTCTGGGCGCCGTTCTATCTCTCCGGCGGCGCGGGCTGGACGGGCGTGCTCACCGTGCTCCGGAGGTTAGTTCCACTCCAGAGGGGGTTGTACGAGGATTACGTCGCGAACTTTTGGTGCGCGACGGCGCCGGCGTTTAAGTGGAAGCGCGTCCTCTCCGTGCCGACGTCGGCGCGCGTCGCGACGTTCGCGACGATCGCGGCGCTCCTCCCGAGCGCGCTCCGGACGATAAAAACGCCCACGAAAGACGCGTTTCTATGGTGCCTCTCGTGCAGCGCCTTCGCGTTCTTCCTCTTCAGCTTCCAAGTGCACGAGAAGAGCGCGCTGCTGCCGCTGCTGCCGGCGACGTTGCTGTCGCTGCGCGCGCCGACGCTAGCCGCGAGGCTGCCTCTCGCGGTGTGCTTCTCGTGCTACCCGCTGCTCGAGAGGGACGGGCTGTCGCTCGCGTACGTCGGCGTGATGGGCGCGTTCGCGTCGGTGATCGGCGGCGGCGCGCCGCCTCCTCCCAGCGGTGGCGGCGGCGGAGGAGGCGAAGGCGAAGGCGAGGGCGAGAGAGAGCGTCGGTGGTGGGGCCGCGTCGACGCCGTCTCCGCGGCCGCGTTCGTCGTCGCGCACGCCGCGGCGATCTTCGTCCCGCCGCCGGCGTCGCTCCCGCATCTCCACGCGCTCGCGTTCACGTCGTCGGCGTTCGTCTACTTCGCGGGCGCGGCGGCGTATTGTCACGCGAGGTTGTGGGCCGAGACGGCCGCCGAGCGCGCGGCGAGCCGGATCTTTGGTGAAACAAAAGAACGGTGCCGAGGCGACCCCGACGTCCTCCGGCGCGTAGGGGAGAAGTTTGCGGCGGCGGCGGCGGCGGGGGGGGAGGCGCGCGATCGTCGCGGCGCGAGGGCGTCGACGAGGGCGAGGCGGAAGCAGCACGCGGAGTGACGCGCGCGCGGCGTCGCGCGGGGCAGCTAGAGGTAGCTCGTAGCGAACGGTTGTTAGTTATTCTGGAGGCGGTTGAGCAGACTTGATGTCGCTGTCGATGACGAACGAACCCTCTGCTCGCGAGGAATTGCCTCACATCGCATCGCGCCGCCGACATGACGTGCACCGCGAGGCTCGCGGCGTGGACGGCGCTCACGGCGCCGTCCGCGCGCCTCGCGCGACGTCGTCAACGCGCGCCCGCGCGTCGCCGCGTCCGCGCGGCGGCCGCGGACGACGGGGTCGACGAAGACGAGACGACGACGACGACGACGGCGACGACGACGACGGACGACGACGAGACCGCCGACGCGCTCGATGAATCATCGACACCCTTCGTGCATCCGTACGAGTCCGCGGCGATGGCGACGTCCCCGTCGCCGTCGTACGCGTCGTCCCCGTACGCCGCGGCCTCCGCGAACGCCTCCGCGGCGGCGACCGCGTCGCCGCCGCCCCCGCCGAAGATCATGACCCCGTTCCAGACGTCAGCGTTCCACGTCGGATACTTCAGCACCGCGGTGCTGATCGCGTGGGGCGTCAAGAAGGGCGTCGACGCGTTCAACGCGATCCCGGACCTGAGCACGGAGGAGCGGCTCGTGCGGATGGACGAGTTCGCGACCGCGCAGCTCGCGCGCGTGAACGCGATGCCGCCCGGGAAGGCGCGCGACGCGGAGGCGAGGCGACTCGAGAAGATGCGAGACGACATTCGACGCAAGCGGAAAAAGTTTGAAGCCGCGGAGGCGCGACGCGAGGAGTGGAACGCGCGCCTGCGACGCCTGGACGAGCGCGGGAACCCGGTCGGGAGGAAAGAGGCGGTGCGGCGCGCGGAGGACGCGGCGCTTGCCGCGGGGATCGACGAGAAGAGCGAGCGACGACGCGAGCTCGACGCGGCGGCGGCGGCGGCGGCGCGGCGATCGGAAGCCGCCGAGGCGCGCGCGGCGCCGCCTGGCGCGGGCGCGGACGACGCGGGGGCGACGGCCTGGGTGGACTCGAGCGCGTACCTCGAGAGCGTCGTGGAGAAGGACTTCGATGGGGAGGGAGGAGATGAGGAGGAGATTCTGGAGGTGATCCCGCCGCCGGTCGCGGCGGCGAGCGCCCCGGCGAAGAAGAAGACGAAGCCGAAGCCGCCGACGAAGCCGCCGCCGAAGCCGAAGCCGAAGCCGAGGCGAGCGCCGAAGACGCCAACACCGAACCCCGCGACGCCGAAACCGACGAATAAGACGATATTCGACCCGGAGATCGTCGACACGAGGGACGACCTCACGAACATCCCGGGATTGACCCCCGAGCGAGAGCGCGAGCTCGACAGAGAGATCCGCGAGCTCGAGCAGCGGTACGGCGACGACCCGAACGTATCCCCCGAGGAGCTAGACGCGAGGTGCAACGCCATCATCGAAAAGTACGGCCTAGGCGACAAGGCGTTCACGGAGAACGAGATGTACGACCCGGACGCTGATCCGGAGATGGCCGCGCGGCACTACAGCGAGGTCGATCCGTACTACTGGCGCGACCTGAAAACCGTGCACGCGATATTCGAGGCGAACGCGAAGACGAAGGAGGTGCCGATCATGACGATGATGATGACGCACCCAGGGCTGCCCGCGTATCTCCCGGGCGGGAAAAAGCCGGAGAATAAGGTGCGCTCTGCGTGCGCACTGGTCCCCACGCGACCGCGTTCGCGTTTCTCTCCGCCCACACCACGGTTTCGATCCCCCCCCGCGACGCATCGCGACTCCGCTTCTGACGCCTTTCGACTCCGCCTCCCCGACGTACGGAACGACCCCAAGAACCACGCGATCGCGTTCGAGGACCGCGCGGACGCGGAGCGGTTCGTGTGGCTCATGCGAAGCACGCGAAGGGACGAGAACGAGGGCCTGTGCACGACGAACGCGATGCCGGCGGAGCTCATCGAGCGCGTCGCGAAGCAGGAGGGCGTGGGCGTCACGGTGATCGCGAGGGGACGCGTGGACCTGAGCCCGGGCCGCGACGACATGGCGGTGCTGAGAGAGATTCGCGAGATCGGCGGCGAGCAGTACCTGTACGACTTCGCGCAGTACACGAAGCGGGGGTTGGACGAGCAGAGGATGCCGCCGCCGCCGACGATTCAGTTCCGCGACCCGTACTCGTCGCGGTGACGACGCGGGGACGATCGAATCTAAAATCTAATCAACATTATTCTCGACGCGCCCGCGCCCGCTCATCACTCGTCTACGTACTCCTTCAAGAAGGCGCACCGGTGCGACGTCTTCTCTTCGCCGTCCTCCTTCTCCTCCTTCTTCGCCGCCGCCGCGTCGTCGCCGTCGCCGCGCAGCGGGTCCAACGCCGCGAGCTCGGCGTCGTTCAGCGCCCCCCCGCCGTTCGCCGCCGCCGCCGCCGCGAGGAGCGCTCGCTTTTCGTCCGCGCGCATCCGCTTCAGCTCAAACTCTCGCCTCGACGCCTCGGCGCGGTCCGCCGCGCGCTCGACGTATCGCAGCCGCGCGGGCGGGTCCCCTCGCAGCGCTTTCGCGCCCCCGGCGCGCGCGCCCGCGTGCTGCTCGAGGCGTCGTCGAACGTCCACGGTGATGCCCGTGTACAGCTGATGGAGGAGGGACGGGACGGGGCGAGGGGCGGCGTCAGCGCGTCGATCGAAACGATGATGGCGGGGACGCCGAGGCTTCGGGACGGAGAGCGCGCCGCGACGCGACGAGCGCGCGCGGACCTTCCCGGACTTGGTCTCTACGATGTAGACGCGCCATCCGCCCGCGGCCGCGATCGCGGGCATCGCCGCGCGCACCGCGAACATGCCCGACGACGACGCGCGGCGGGAAGTGATGAGAGACGGAGGACGACGAGGCGTTTGGTTTTCGCGGTAAACTTTTTTTGCGGTTCAGCGTGTAATTTTTTTTTCTTTCACGACGACGACGGCGACGACGCAGAAGGAGGGAGGAAGGGCGAGGAGGGGAGGAGCGCGTGATGCGCAGCGGTGTGATGCGGAGGTGTCGTTACGTCGTATTTCAAGTGGCGTGCGGCCCCAAAACCAGCTGCCTTTCTCAAGTTTTCACCAGTATGGTCGAACCTTCGGGTATCGTCGTCACCACGCGCGGGCAGTGCGTCTTGTGCGGCTCGCCGTCGCCGTGTTTCCAGTGCCACTTCTGGCACCTCCGCGAGCAGTACCGCACGCCGCGACAAAGCTTGCACGTCCAGTACGCGTACTTGCCGCACCCGGAGCAGCGACGGATTTGCTTCAGGAGCGCCTTCTGCGCGGCAATGTCGTCGTCGGTGTCGTATTCGGCCCTATTCATCACTGACATTTTCAGCATGTCTTTCGCGAGTCGAACGCTCTTCTCGAGGCCGCACACGCCGTGGAGAAAACACAGCGCCATGTGGTGAATAACATCCCTCGCCCCCATGTGCTCGGGCAGCGGTCCCAAAACGAACGCGACCTTGGCTTCGCTGCTGATAACAAAGCCGGAAGCTTGGGCGATGGCGTTGAGAGTCTTCGATTTCGATATTCTCAGCATTTTTAGGTGTGCGAGGGCATCTTTTAGTCCGAGAGCTGTTAGGGCATCTCCAAGTTTATCTTCATCAACTTCGTTGGCGGTGGCTTTCCTGAGCCAGTGCTCGTACTTCACGAAGTCCTTCTCGAAGCCATTATTGCCGTGCAAGTGACCGCGGGACACTCGGACTTGCGCTACGGCATTTCCTTTCTCCGCCGCCGATCGATTCAGCTCAGCCGACTTCGTCGCGTTTTCCTCGACACCCGAACCGTCTAGGTAGGCTGTCGCGAGCAAAACCTCAGCTTCGGCGTTGCCTTGCTCGACAGCCCTCGCAAAGTTCTCCGCCGCCGAACTCAGCAGGTGGGCGCGCGTGCTCTCAAGCTCAGGAGAGATTCCATCGATATTAAGAATGTCCTGCAGCGGGATCCGGGCAGTTTGTAATTTGAGCCTGCCCGCGTACACGAGCGCGGGGGCGTGGCTGAGGTCGCAGCTCCTCTTTAACCACCTATCGTACTCGCTGATGCCCCCGGTCCCTTGCTGGGAGCGCAAGGCGAGCTCGAACGCGGACGCGCCGCAGCCGTCCGTGGCGCGCCTCGCGAGTTCCGCGGGCGTCGCGCTCTCCGAAGGAATACCGCCGGAGTCGCCGCCGAGCGTGGACGCGGCGTTCGCAGCCTCGGTCGTCTCCGCGCTCTCCTTCTCGATGTGATCGTTCATCTCCTTCTTGACTTGATCGAGCACCTCCTTCATTCTGTCCTCGACCTCTTCCACCATCTCGTCAATCTTCTTTATTGCGGCGTCTACCGCCGCGGTCTCCTTCTTCGTCCCCCTCACTATATTTTTTATCTTGTTGAACTCCGCGATGAACTCCGCCGTTATTCTAAGGTCCTTCCCTATCCTCGCCTCGAACTCAGCCGCCAGCGCGTCCTTCTCCTCCGCGCTCGCGCACGCCGCATTGAGCTCTCCAAAGTCCGCCCTGACCGAGTCTTTAACCTTCCTGGTCGCTTCCAAGTATTCCGCCGCGGCCAAGGTCAGCCGCGTCAACTCGTTCGCCAGACTCTCGCCCGACAGGTTCGCCCCCGTCTCCGCGTCCGCGCGTGTCAACGCGCGGACGAACTCGAGCGAAAGCGCGTCTCCCCCCGCGCCGCTCGCCGCGGCCTCCGTCTTCGCCCTCTTCTTCGCGGCGGACTTCGCCTTCTTCCTGGACTGCGGCATCGCGTTCGCGCGCGAAGAACTGCGACCGCGGGCGGCGGCGCGGCTCGACTTTGAAAACCACGTCCCCGCGCTCGTTTTCCTCGGAAGAGACGAGCGCGTTCGGTTCGTCTGTTCTCTCTGTTCCATCACAAAACCCGCTCTACTACGCCTCCGCGCGCGCTCGCGTCTCATCACGGCGACAGATCCCCGAGGTCCAAGTCGTCCAGATCAATCTCGACGTCCTCCGCGTCGCGCGCGATCGCCCCCAGCCCGCCGCCGCCGCCGAGCGACGCCAGCTCGTTCACGAACTCCTCCGGAGTCATCACGTCCGTCCCGCCGACGACCACCTCCCGTCCCAACGTCTCGGACAGCACCTCCGCCTCTCTCGTCTCCCCGCGCGTGACGCCGCCGACGACGAACACGAACAGTCGCGGCTGCTTCGCGCACCGCTTCGCGATCGAGCCCGTGCGGCGGTGCTGCGGCTCGTCGCCGCCGACGCCGGGGATCGAACCGCCGACGCCGGCGCCGCCGCTCCCGCCCGCCGCGGAGCTGCCGGCGCGGCGATGCCCGGCGACGCCGCCGGTCAGGTCGCCGAGCTCCTCCGCGCTCCCGAACGATCGCTGCGACGCGGAGCGTCCGCCGGGGCGCGTGCGCATGGACTTCCCGGGCGTCTTCGGCGCGGACGCGATCGGGTTGTGCGTCACGGCGCCGACGGCGTGCTTCGTCGGCTTGGTCGCCGTCGCCGCCGTCGTCGCCGCGAAGGGATTTTTTCCTCCGTCGAAGACGTCGCCGCCGTCGTCGTCGCCCGCGCGCGGCGACGCGACTAACCCTCCGAGCGCGGGAAACGCATCCGGAGCGAGCGTTTGCGCATCGAGCGCCTTCGCGAGGATATGAATCGTCGGCAAGAAACGGTTCAGATCCCACTCGGACCGGCGCTCGTGCACCGTCGGACGCTTCGTCTTTTTCGTCTTGAACGACGCCATCTTTCCGCCGACGCCCTTCCTCTTCTCCGTCCGCGCGCCTAAAAACTCCAAGCAGCCGATGCACTTGAGCTGCTCCGTCGTCAGCCCGGTCGCCTTGCTCCATCGCGTCCGCTCCGCGTCGTCGAACTTCTCCGGGTGCGACGCGGCGTACAGCAACAGCAGGCGGAGTTTGATCGCCTGATCTAGGTCGCTTCCGTCGCCCTTGCCGCCAGCGCGAAACTCGTTCAGCAGCGTCACGATGTCCTTGCTCGTCGCCTGACCGAAGATCACCGCCTCCTCTAACCGTCCGACGTCGCTCAAGCCCGCGTTTCTCAGCTGGTGATTAATCCGCGCCGCGATCGACGTGTGCACGCTGAGCTTGCTCTGCGCCTCGAGGAACCGCGGAAGGTTTTCGACAACCTTTTTGATCTTCCCCGTGCTCGCCTCAGGGTCGAGGGTCCATACGAGCGAATGTCGGGGTGGAGTTCAAAGGCGTCAGACGGAGTTGAAAGGCGTCGAGGACGGGGGTTGAAACCGAGGAGTGGGCGGAGAGATGCGCCGGGCAAAGTCCTTAAGGATCGGCGTTCACCACGCGAACGCGGTCGTATGGGAACCAGTGTATAGAACGCACCTCCCCCGTCAGCCGCGCGCTCTCTCCGATGTCGCTAAATTCCTTCGCCTTGACCGCGAGCGCGTTCAACACCGGCGCGATGTGCTCGTACCTCAGCTCCGTCCACAGCGGGTCGCCGTCCCCTAACACCGCCTCCTTGTTCTGCGCGCCCGCGTTGGTCTGAATCGCGTACTTGTACGCGCCTTGCTTGGACACCGGAAGCAAGTCGTGCACCATCGCCTCGTACGTGAACTCGTGAACGACGGGCGCGACCACGTCGACGGCGCGGTCGACGATCAACACGTCGCACGTCGGCGCGTCCGGGATGGAGCTCTGCCCGGGCTTGGATTGGAGCGTCAGCATCGCGCGGTGGACGCGCTGCGCGACCGCGGCCGCCGCGCCGGGCTTCCCGGCGGCGTCGTGCGCCGCGTATCGAATCGCGGGGAACTAGCGAACGTCGGGGTGAGGTTGAAAGGCGTCAGAAGCGGAGTTGAAAGGTTGAAAGGCGTCGAGGACGGGGATTGAAAGCGAGGGACCCTGGGCGGAGAGATGCGCCGGGAGAGAAAGTCCTTAAGGAACGGCGTTCACCACGCCGACGCGGTCGTACGGGGACCAGTGTGATGAAATCGCACCTCTCCGAGCGCCGCCAGCAGCGTGGAGAGACGCGTCGCCGCGACGTGCGCCTGTTCGTTGAACGAAGAGACGCTCCCACTCCCGGTCGTCGTCGTCCTCGACGCCGGGTCGAAGAACGCGCGCAGCGTCCTCGGCTGCCCGGTCGTGAAGCACCGCGCGTCTTTCGCCTGGTACTCCATGTTGAACTCAGGGTCGTTCCATACAAAGCGACGTCGGGGCGGAGTTGAAAGGCGTCAGTTGGAGTTGAAAGGCGCCGAGGGCGGGGATTGAAAGGGAGGGGTAGGCGGAGAGATGCGCCGGGCAAAGTCCTTAAGGAACGGCGTTCACCACGCCGACGCGGTCGTATGGGGACCAGTGTGATGAGAACGCACCTCCGCCAGCCCGCCGAGCGCTTGCAACAGCGGTTTGCACTTTTTGATCGCCGCGAGGAGGTTTGGCGAGAGCGACGACGAGAAGTAGACGAACGCGCGGCGATACGTCGGCCGCTTCGCGTGCTTGAAGTCGTCGATCAGCGCCCCGACGCTCTCCGCGGTGGGGCTCAGGAAGTACACCGCGTCCGACTTGGGCTGCGGCTCTCGCGTCAGCGCCGCGTTCTCCACGAGCGACACGCCCGCCTCGGTGAGTTCGCTCATGCCGCACGCGCTCGAGACGACGCGCGTGGTGACGGCGTCGAGGACGAAGATCTTCCACTCACCGGGGATCGCGCCGAGCATGTCGACGAGGACGCGGCGTTTCGTCACCGCGCGGTACCCCGTCGGGTCGAGCGCGCCGTCCATCGCGGGCGTCGGATCTGTTGGATCTGATGCGGGTGGGCACGCGCCTACTTCCGCTCGGGCGCGCGTGCAGCCTTTAGTTTATTACGAATCCGACGCCTCGGCGCTCGCCGCGTCGTCGACGACGGCGGCGACGCGGCCGCGACGTGGACGCGCGCGCCGACGCCGGCGACCTCGCGCGCGCGGCGGGCGGCCTCCTCGGGATCCGCGCGGGCGTGCGGCGCGCGTTCGCGCTCTGCGGCGCGCGCGGCAGCCGAGGAGGCACGACGACGCGACGCGACGCTTCGAACGGTCGTGATGAGGACGACGTCCAGAAACTGATGAGGGTCGTTCCATACAAAAACAGTTCATCGGTCAGTTGAAAGGGAGAGCGATCAAATGTTGAAACCGAGCGGTGGGTGAAAAACTTTACCATAGAACGCACCTGCTGAGATTCTCGGTTGTTGCTTCGAAAAACCACCATCGGTCGCCGCACCGCGCAGTCCGCCCGCGCGCGCGCGCGCTGCTCCGGGGCGGCGTCTCGCTCGCCGTCCGTCCGCGATGGCGGAGGCGATTCGATGCGCGCAGATCGGCTCGCTCGCGGCGGAGTCGCTCGTCGCCGCGAACGACGACGAGATCGACTGGGACGACCCGAGCGATCCCGTGTACGAGATGGCGGGCGGGTTCTCGCGCGAGGTGTGGAGGCAGATCGTGCAGACCGCGCTCGCGTACGAGGCGAGGAAGGGCGAGCGAGGAGGAGGAGGAGGAGGAGGAGGAGGAGGAGGAGGACGCGCGGCGCGGCAACGCGACGACAGCGACAGCGAGTTCGAAGCCTTCACCGACGAGAGCGAGGAGGAGGAGGAGGAGGAGGACGAGGACGAGGACGACGCCACGGAGCGATGGGCCGCGGAGGCTGCCGCCGCGACGCTCAGCGCGAACGGCGACGCGGGCGACGACGACGACGACGACGGCGAGCGACGGTCGTCCGCGAGGATCATCCGCGACCGACGACGCGCCGCGCGCGAGAAAGCGAAGGCGGAGCGCGCGGCCGCGATGCGCGCGGGCGTCCTCGCGACGCTGCGGTCGATCGAGAGAGAGAGAGAACGATCGAGATCGAGCGAGGGCGGCGGCGAACGCGGCGGCGAACGCGGCGAACGCGACGCGGACGCCATCGCGCTCGTGCGGTTCGCGCTCGCGCAGGGCGCCGACGTCGCGCTCGCGCTCGACGCCATGCGAGCCGTCGCGGCGGAGAAGGCGAAAGAGGTGGAGTCGACGTGCGAGCGGCACTACGGCGACTTCGCCGCCGCCATGGGCGAGCTCGACGGCGTGTCGAGCTCCTCCGCGGCGCTCGGGAGAGCGTCCGCGGCGCAGAACGAATCCCTCCGAGCGGCGACGACGCCGCTGGTGGAGACGTACGAGGCGCTGAGCGTCTCTCGCGCGGTCGCGAAGCGCGCGAAGGAAGCCGCCGACGCCGTCGCGCGGTGCCAACTCGCGCTCGAGTGCGCGCAGCGATGCGGCGAGGAAGCGCGCGAGGGCCGGCTCTTTCGCGCGCTGCGACGCGTGGAAGACCTCGAGCAGAAGCACCTCCCGGGGCTGCCGTGCGGCGTGTTGGAGAAGAGCGTGCACGGCGGGACGTACGGCGCGCGAGACGCGATCGCGCGCGCGGGCGTCGTCTCCGCGACGGAGTGGCTCGCGCGCGCGCGCGACGCGGCAAGAAGCCTGGGCCTGCGCGAGCTCGAGGACGTCGCCGGTTCGATGCCCGGCGGCGGCGTCCAGGAGGTGGTGGACGCGTTTCTCGCGAGGAACGAGAGGGACGACGCGACGTGGACGCGGCGACGAGCGGCGGTGGCGGCGGCGGACTCGGGGGACGTCGCGGCGGTGCGGAAGGTCGTCGACGCGTCCGTCGCCGCGGCGCGCGCGAAGGCGGAGGACGCGAGGAAGGCGGCGGCGGAGAGGGCGCGGCGATCGAACGACGCGGCGGCGGCGGCGGCGGAGTCGGCGGAGTCGGCGGCCGGGGGCGGAGGCGGCGCGCCGGTCCCCGCGGGGAGCGCGGGCGACGGCGAGCACACGCCGATCAAGCGGAGGATCGACTTCGCCGGGGAGGTGGCCGATCTCGAGAAGCGACGCGTCGTCCCGCCGGCGGCGGTCGATTCGAACGCGGACGCGCGCGGAGGAAAGGAGAGCGCCGCCGCCGCCGCTGCGGTAACGCTCGACGTCGTGCCGTTACTCCGCGCGGACCGGCTCTTCGCGCGGATGCACGTCTCGGAAGAGTTCTACCGCAAGTTCCAACGAGACCGCGCGATGCAACTGAAAGCGGACCTCGGCGGCGAGACGGGCGTGTGGGCGACGGCGTGCGTTTTCGTTTTCGCCCGACCGACTGCTTCGCTTTCCTTTCCTCGCCGTCGTCGCTCTTCCCCCCCTAAACCCTAACCCTAACCCCCCCCGATCGACAGGTACGCGAGCGCGAACACGTCGAGCACGGGCGCGTACGACTCCCCGAACGACCACCTCAGAGACATCAACGAGAAGGGCATCGTCGACCTCGTCGGCCACTTCGTCGTCAACGCCATCGTCGACGACGCCATTCCCGGACTCCTCGGCGGCGCGGACGCGTCTCGAGCCGTCGCGACCAAGGCGTGCGAGGACGCGGCGGCGGCGGCGACGCGCGTCGTTCACGTCGCGTCAGACGTCCGCGTCGTCGCTCGCACGCGCGCGCGCTTCGCGGCCGCGTCCGACGCGCTCCTCGCGCGCGGGTTCGTCGACGCCGCGGACGCGCTGCGTCGCGCGTCGGAGACGGCGGGCGCGCGGCGCGTGGAGCTGTCGTCCAACGACGCGCGCGCCGCGCACGCGGCGCTCGGCCCGGCGATCGAACGTCTGTATCCGATCGACGGCGCGAATTACTCCGCGATGGCGGCTGACGCGGACCGGCTGTTGACGGCGTTCGCGAGCGACGTCGGGACGTTCGTCGGCGGGGGCGCGGGGAATTCGAAAGATTCGAAAGATTCGAAACGACGGGTGGGATTACCCGGTGCGCGACGCGACGACGACGCGTCGGCGATCGAGATTGTCCGCGCGGCGAGGGACGCGACGCGGCGCGGCGTCGACGCGTTCGCGCGGTTCACCCTCGAGCCCGTCGTGTCCACGCGCGGTCTCAAAGAGATGCACGCGATGCAGCTCGCGACCGACGCCGCGCATCTGAACGAGCGGTGCGTCGCGTGGGAGCGATCGGCGGCATCGGCCGCGGTGGCGGCGTTCACCGGCGACGACGGCGGCGTCGTCGTCGCGCGCGAGACGACGGCGGATGGTAACAAAAAATGGGCGCCGTTTGAATCGCTCGCCGCGTCGGCGACGGCGACGCTGAACGCCATCGTCGCGCGGCGCGTGGACGAGCTCATGACGTCGTCGTCCGCGGCGGCGGACTGGGACCCGCCGTCGCCGCCGACGACGGCGTCGGAGACCATCTCCGGCGTCGTCGTGTACCTCGACGGTATCCTGCGGTTCGCTTCGACGTCGCTTCCGCCGGCGGCTGCGGGCGCGCTCGCGCGCGCGGCGCTCCGCGCCGCGTCCGCGTCCGCGCTCGCGCCGCTGACGCGCGTCGACGGCGGCGTCCGGAAGTTCACGATCTTCGGCGTGGTCGGGTTAACGCACGACCTCGAAGCGTTAGAGTCGCTCGCGGACGCGATGCAGGGCATCCTGTCCTCGGCGTCGATCGTCTCGCCGACGAAGAAACGCGGCGACGCAGCCGGCGGCGGCGGCGGGTTCGCGGAGGGCCGCGGGCGGCTGCGCGACGCGCTCTTCGCCCCGAGGGCGTTCGTCGAGCTCATGTCGTCGTCGAACGCGTCGTCGTCGTCATCGTCTTCCAGCGGAGGAAACGGCGAGGTCGCGGCGGTGGCGAGCGCGTTGGACGTGAACGAGGCGGCCAAGGCTGGCGTGGACGCCGCGGCGTTGGCGCGCGCGTTGGAAAAGTACAGAGAGATCTCCGCGGCGACGAAGCTGATGGCGATGGTGGACCGCTTCGGCGGGGATTCGGACCTCGCGGGGAGGGCGCCGACGAAGCGCGACGTCGACGCGGCGGTGAAGGTGCTGAGGGCGCGCGCGAGCGGCGGCGGCGGCGGCGGCGGCGGCGGCGCGGAGAAGAAGTGACGGACAGACGGATGTGACGCGCGAGAAGACGCGAGGTGGAAAGTTCCCTGTCGGGCGCGACATTCGTTTGAGTTAGTTGTAGACTGCAGATTGATTTCGAAAACACAGGGTGGTTTCAACGTCGATGAATCTCGCGCGATGAAGTTTCGGACACCCGGTCAGTTTGACCCGCGATCGAGACCGGAGGATCGCGCTCGCGAGATTCGCCCCGCGGCTGCCACGATGGCATCGACGAGCGACCCGCGGCGTTTGAACGCCTCTAAAAAAACCGGATTGACGCCAAAGATCGCCACCGGAGCTCGCGCGTCGCCCGCGAACGCGCATCGCGAGTTCACCCTCGCGATCTACGATGGCGTCCGCGGCCATGCCCGCACGCGTCGCGGCGTTCCAAACCCGCGCGATCGCGCGTCCGCGCGCGCTCGCGAAGCACCCCGCCGCGCGTCGTCGCGCGTCGTCGACGGTTCAAAAACGATGGCTCGAAGGATCGACGACGTCCTCGGCATCGCGCGCGATCGCGCGCGCCGCGTCCTCCGAAGACGGCGCGACGACCGTCGCGGAGTACGCGACGTCCGAGCCCGCGGCGTACGACGAGCTCGGCGATGACGGCGAGTTCGACGACGAGCCCACCGTGAACATACCGATATCCTTCTTCTCCTTCCTGAACCTCTCCCCCGCGCGCGCGATCCCGGCGACGATCGAGGCTTCGTACGCCGCCGCGATGTCGCGCGAGCTCGTGGACGGCTTCAGCGACGCGTGCCTCGCCGCGCGCGCGGACCTCGTCGACGCCGCCACGCAGGTCCTCAGCGACAGCGCGCTGCGGACGGAGCACGAGGGCGACCTGAAAGCGGGGCGCCTCACGCCCGTGCCGACGTCGCAGCTCGCCGGCGCGCTCGCGCTCATGCAAGAGGCGGGCGAGCACGAGAGCGTGATCGAGTACGCGCCGCGCTGCCTCGCGGCGGTGAAGTCGAAGGCGGCGCGTCGCGACATCACGCTCTCCGCGGCGCTCGCGCACTGCGAGCTGTCTCACGTCGCGCTGACGTCGTCGCCGCCGCGCGTCGGCGAGGGATGCGAGCTCCTCGACATCGCGTCGTCCATCTTGATCGCGGAAGCCGGCTCCGGGTTCTCGCGCGAGCTCCAAGACACGATCAAGCGCACGCTGATCGAGCTCGCGCCCGCGTACGTCATCGAGCTCCTCGCGCTGCCGCTGGACCGCGTCGCGGACCGCAAGGAAGGGCTGCGCGCGCTGCGGACGGTCGTGTGGGCGCAGGGCGACGCCGCGCTCATGGATCGCGCCGCGTACGTCGCGGAGGCGCGTTCTATTTATTGCACACTGGTCCCCGTACGACCCCGTTCGCGTTGTGAACTTCATTCCTTAAGGACTTTCTCTCCGCCCATCACCCCTCGCTTTCAATCCCGACAACACACCTCGACGCCTCACAACTCCGCCACTGACGCCTTTGAACGCCACCCCGATTGGTGGACCCTCGACCCTCATCAGGTGAACCGGCATCTCACCGCGGCGGAGACGGCGAAGATGTTCGTGGAGGCGCCCGACGAGGTGGCGCCCGAGGCGGACGAGGTCTACGGCGCCGCGCTCGCGCTCGTCGTCGCGGGGATGAAGGATGTCAAGCCGCAGATGATTTACGACGCCGGGGAGATGTTCCAACAGCTCGAGGACGCGGCGGAGTACGAGCGAAGCGCGCGCGAATACGACGACGCGATCGCCGCGCAGGCGAACGCGCCGGGCGTGTTCGCGTCCGAGGTGCCGCCGCCGCCGCCGGAGAGCGTCGCCGTCGAGAAAGCGGTGTGCCAGGTCCTCCTCGGGAGCGTCGAGGAGGCGCTGTACACGCTCGGTTTGGGGTTCGAGCAGAGAGGTTTAGGTCTCGCGGATCCGCAGGTGGAGACCTTCGTCGTCGAGCACTCGCCGTCGGGCGATCCCGCGGAGGGTCTGTGCGCGCTCGTTGACCGGTGGATCGCGGACGTCGCGTTCGTCTCCTTCCGCGACACCGCGAAGACGGCGCCGCCGACCGTGGAGACGTGGTTCGAGAACGTCGCGGTGACGCGTTATGTGGACAGGCTCGAGACGTCGCCGGCGCTGTTGAAACTCCTCGCGTTGACGTCGTCGACGGCGAGTTCGGCGGCGCGCGTCGCGGACGACGTCGCCGCGGCGTTCCGCGGGAGCACCGTCCCGGGTCTGCGCGCGGGCGTCTCAGGCGACAGATCGGTCGTCGGGACGCTGCGAAGCCACCCGACGGCGTCGAACGTCGCCGTCGGCGGCGCGGTCGTCGTCGGCGCGACGTTGCTCGCGGCGGGGATGTCCGGCGGCGAGCTCTTCGGCGGCCGCGCGTCGTACCGCGGCGGTTCGAGCCCCGGCGCCTCCGCCGCCTCCGCCGCCGCGACAAAACCCAAGGTGAGCCCCGCGACGACGATCCGCGAGCTCGGCATCCAATTCGCGGCGGCGACGACGAACGTGCTCGACGGCGTCGGCGGCGCGATCCCTCGCGGCGCCGCGCCGGAGGTGACCGCTGACGTGGCGGAGAAGATCGTCCGACGGTGGCAATCGGCCAAGGCGCAGGCGCTCGGCGTCGCGCATAACCTGCGACCGCTCGAGCAGTGCCTGGAGGGCCCGATGCTGCAGCAGTGGCTGACGCGCGCGGAGGACGTCCGCGCGCACGGGTGGGCGTGGGAGTACCAGCTGAACGATCTCGTGGTGGACTCCGTGGAGATCGTGTCGCCGACGCGCGTCATGGTGGAGGCGACGCTGACGGAGGTGGCGGTGTTGAAGGACCGCGCGCGGACGTCGGAGGACGACAAGTACGAGAGCACGTACCGGGCTCGGTACGAGTTGCGGCGGACGGAGGAGCGGGGGGGGGTTAGGGCGTGGAAGATCGTCGGCGGATCCGTCGTGTATTAAACGCGTCGACGCGTCGGCGGCGGCGCGGCGGATCCTTCGACGGAGACAAAAATCGGAATGCAAACGCGAGCTTTAAGTTACCGTACGTCGTACGCACGCCGGTCCCCGCGACGCGCGACTGAACGACGCCGCGTCTCTCTCGAGGACTTCGCGCGTCGTCGCGTCGCGAGGACACTCTGTGTGTGGCTAAGTAACGGAACCGCGACTCGCGTTCGCGTTGATTACAGCTGTGCACCTACCACAGATACGAAAGCTCTGACCGACCGCCCGCCGCCGCCGCCGCCCGCCGCGCGTCAGTCTCTCGCGACATCACCGCGCCGCACCGCACCGCGCTCACGAGATGACGCAGCAGCCGCTCCCCGCGCCACCCGGCGCCGGCGCGCCCCCCTTCCCGCCGCCGGCGCCGTGTTTCCCGCTCGCCGATTCAATCTTCGGTCGCACGACGAGGTGACACGTCACGAGCATCCCCTGCGGGACGCCGCACTCCGCCAGCGTCCGGTTCTCCCCGAGGACGCGGCCGTTGAGTATGAGGCGAATGAAACGGCTATCCTCGGGCGGTTCCGTCTTGAAGTGGATCCCGTCGCGTTCGGGGTGGTAGGGATCCCCTCCCTTCCCCGTATCTTCGTTCGTTTTCGTTACATATCATCATGGTCTAGGGCTACGTGTTCGTTTCCGCCGGTTCCGTCAGATTGACGACGCTATCTCGCGACATCGTCGCGATTTACTCTGCTATTTCATCGCTTCGTCTTGCGTTTCTTCTTTGACTGCGTCAAGGCGATCTCGTCTTCATCCCGAGCACCCTCGGCATCATCTCCATCTCCCTCCGCACCGCCCGCGGGCACTGGCACTGTCGCTGTCGCCGTCGCTGTCGCTGTCGCTGTCCACTCAAACTGCTTCTTGATCTCCGGCTGGTACTTGGTGAGCGAGTCCTTGAACTTCTGCGCGTTCTCCGGCTGGTTAACGACGATCCACTTGATGGCGCTGTTCAGGTCCCGGGTCTCCTTCTTGACAGTGCCGGTGCCGGGATCGGTGTAGATGAAGTACTTTGATCTTGCCTGGTTGCTGCTGGCTGTGCGTCTCAACTCCATGCGCCAACCCTGGAGCTTCACGATCAGCACTGTCGCTGTCGCCGTCGCCGTCGCTGTCGCTGTCGCTGTCCTCTCAAACTGCTTCTTGATCTCCGGCTGGTACTTGGTGAGCAAATCCTTGAGCTGTTGCGCGTTCTCCGGTTGGTTAACGACGATCCACTTCATGGCGCTGTTCAGGTCCGGGGTCTCCTTCTTGACAGTGCCGGTGCCGGGATCGGTGTAGATGAAGTAGGATCTTGCCCAATTGCTGCTGGCTGTGCGTCTCAACTCCATGCGCCAACCCTGGAGCTTCACGATCAGCGCGCGCACCTCGAGCTTCTCCTCGAGCAGTGGCGCGAATTGCACTTTGAGCTGTGCATCGGTGCGGTGAGGGAGGAGCTCCGGCGGAGTGAACTTGCCGTTCTCGACGCAGCCTTTGTGGTACCGTTCCTGGGCGTCTAACACTTCCTGCGTGAGCAGCTTGGTGGTGTCCCGGTCGATCGTGCCCCCGGGGAAGATGCACAGCCCTTGCTTGGCGTCGAAGATGTACCCGTACTCCTCGTACATGGCGCCGCGCATCTTGATGAAATGCTTGACGGAATCTTCACCGCCGCAAGCCAAGCCGCCGTGCAGTACCGCGTTGCGGCCTCCCGTGCGAACGATGCCGATGATCACGTTCGCCGCGTTCACGTCGTGTATCGTGTGCTTGACGTGGTCCGAGTTCCCGGTCTTGTCGCACGTCCGCCGCGGTGGGAAGGGCAAACCCAAGCCATGATGCTTTCCGAGCTCTTTCTTTCTTCCCGAACTTTCGCCCGGGGGGAGCCGCGGCATGGTGATGATCCCGAAGAGGTTTTCATCCGTGAAGTTCAACCCCGTCGCACGCAGAAGTTCGGCTTGCAACTCCTCGAGGCTGAATCCGCGGATGACCCCGTCGACGATGATGTGGGTGAACGACTCGCCGCGGGATCGCCACGCGCCCGCGGCACTGCAGAGGTCGTTGTCGGGAAAGAAGACGCCTTTGTGCGGGTACGCGCGGGTTACCGGAAGAGCCGCGGTGTAGATGAACTCCTTCACGCGGATGCCGTGCGTGCGGGTCCCGCTGCCGAAGCGCGGCGCGTACCCAGCGTCTTTGAGAGACTTTTCGGTCATGTCGAGCGTGTACTGGCCTTTCCGCCCTTTCTTCCTCCTCGCCACCGGGAACGCGCCGTGGACGACCGTGTCGGTGCCGTCTCTCCATCTCGGGCGGGCGAGGATGTTGATGAACCAGTCCAGCTCGCGGGGCGTGAAGTCGCAGACCGCGAGGGAGAAAATTCCTTCACGCAGCGACCCGTCGCCGGCGACTGTCGCGTCCATCCACGCCGGCGTGGCGGTAAGCGCGAGCGGGAACAGCGGGTCGTCCTCGAGGTCCTTGGGGAGGATGACCTTTTTGCCGCGACGATTCGTGTAGAACTTCTCCTGGAGCTTCTTGTCGCCGACGGGCGTGGTCGTGATGGCGTACTTCCAAGACTTTGCTCCGTTCGAACACGTGGCTTCGAATTTCTCGATGAAGTCGGACTCCATCTCGGCGCCAGGTCTGGTTGTGGTCCTCCACTGCACGTTGTGGAGGTTGGCGCGTTGAAGATCGGCGTACTCGCGATTTGTCGTCTGAAGCGTAAAGCGGCCAGATTTAGCCTCGAAGTATGCGTCGCTGCACATCGCGCCGAACCAGTGCCCGAGCTCGTCCATGGTGTCGATTTCGTACTGTTCGACGATGAGCTCGAGCGTCTCGTTGCCCTGCGCGAGCGCGCCGGCGGAGAACCAGAACGGCAGCGGCCAGTCGTGCTCGAGGTACGCCTTCGCGACGCCGCGCCACGGCGCGTCGATCTTGTCGACGCGGGCGCGCTCCTCGGGCGTGAGTATGCGTCTCTTCAGTTCTGCGGGCTTGGGAACCGATCGGGAGGCTTCATCCTTGGCCTCGTCAGCCGCGCGTTTCTTCGCGGCGGCGACCATCGCGTCGTGCTCTGCTTTGATGTCTCTGACGCACTCGTCATCGGACATCTGGACCGCTTTGACCGCCGCCGCGCGCAGTTCGTCGATGGTTTCGTATCTCAGCTTGAACGCCTCCCGCTCCGCGGCATCTCGCGCGGCATTCGCCGCGCGAGTTTCCTCGGCGGCAGCATCGTCACGCCTGCGTTCATCGAGGGATTTACGCTGCTGCCGAGCCACTTTGCCCGCCTCGTAGTTGCGAGTTTCGACGCTGTGCATGTCCTGAACCACCGAGTGGGCACCGCGCGTCACTGCCTTTCTCGCCGCGGACGGCGTCCTCGCTACGGACGGCCGCGGCGTCGCGGACGTCATCGGCGCCGCGGGTGTGACGACGAGCGCGGACGGCTGCAGCGGCGGCGACGATCTCCGCGACGGAGGAGGAAGCTCGCTCGTCGACTCGACCGCGAGGCGCCTCATCGCCCGCGGAGGAGGCGCGGAGTCGTCGCGACCGACGCCATCGTCGCGTAGGCGGGACAGGACGGCGTTGCACGCGAGAGTCATGAACTCCGCAGGGTCCGCGTCGAAACCAGCGCCTCCGCCTCCGCCGCGACCCCCCGATCGCGTGCGCGAGGAGACGGGCTGCTGCGCGACCGCGCGCGTCGCCGCAGGCGTCGCCGCGGGCGTCGCCGCGGGCGTCGCCGACGTAGACGTCTGCGTTCTCGTCGACGCGCGGAGGATGTACCGGGGCGTCGGCGCAGGCGTCGGCGCGGGCGTCGGCGCGAGCGTCGGCGCGGGCGTCGCCGACGTCGACGTCGGAGTTCTCTTCGGCGCGCGGAGGATGCACGGGGACGGCTTGACAGCCGTCGCCTTCTGAGCTCGGCTCGAGCCCATGCGCGTGAAGTCACGAGCGGCGTTCATCGCGGTGTCACGGAGCGCCGCTCCGAGACGTCGACTGAGACGACCGGCTGCTCGAGCGGCCGCCATCGCGCGTCGGGAGATGCCAGCTGTGCGAACTCGAACTCGGGTGCCTAACTTTCACCGCGGGCGGGCTCCTGCCTGTCCGCGCCGTCCACACCGTCCACGCCGTCCACGGGCAGGTGCTAATGGAAGCTCACGAACGTCCGCGAGGTGCGCGTCTTCGTCGTGCACGTCGCCGCGACGCGCGCGCGGTCGTCCCTTGTCGCGGAGCGAGGATCTGAGAGAGGACGAACGCAGGAGGAAAAAACTTTCTCAAGTTCCGGACTCGCGGAAGGCTCCGGACTGCGCCCGTCGCGAGCCCGCGCGAGCGGTTAAAAACGCCTGAAACGTGTCGCGGGACCGAAACACGTCGCGCAGAAATCGAAACACGCGCGAGCGAGGGCGATGTGGATGTTCCCGAGCGAGCCCGGAGTCGGCCGTGCGTCGTCGCGCCCGAACCATCGGCATCTCGCGAAAAGTGCGCTGCCGCGAGAGATGCGATTGCTCATTTTCCGCGAGAGAGGGAACGAACCGGACACGAGCGCGCGCGTGTCGAGCGAAACGCGCTCTGAAGCCGTGTGCGCACCTTCGGAGTCCCAGTCTTCGCTGCCTTGAGAATCTCTACTCAGCGCGTGCGGTGGGGTGGCGCGCGCGGAGTGCTGATGGACGCTCGCGTGAGACGGCTCAGAAAGCGTTTCCCTGCCGTGTCGGTCCGAAAATCACGAGATCGCGAGCGACAGCTGTCAGTCAGGTCGACCGAAACTTCCCTGTCTCCTTCCCTGAATCGTCGCACCGGCTGCGTGGCCCTCGGGATCGGCTGGACCCAGAACTTCGATCATCAGTCTGTTCCGTCTGCATCACTCAAATTACACCGTCCCGCCTCTTATCTACCGCGTCGGGCTCCCCACGTCTTATATCGCTCGCGTTATGACTTGACAAACTACTCGGGCGTGTGCGTGTCTGATTGTTTTTTTGTGCGGGTGACTCTAACTCGTGGACGTTCGCTCTCGCCGTCCTCGCGCTCGTCCCCGCGGACGTCGCGGCGACGATGAAGAACGAGCCGCACCCGCACCTGGGGATGCTGTGGGACCTGACGTACTGGACGACGTTCGCGCTCACGTGGTTCTTGCTGCCGATACACCAGATGTACGAGGACGCCGCGGACTTCAGCGTGATCGGACGGCTGAAGACGTCGCTGCGGGAAAATTTGATCTTCTACGGCGTCATCCTCTCCGTGATCGTCTTCGGCGTCGTGATCCTCGTGGCGTACGGCACGCTCACGACCGCGGGTCTGAGCGGGTTCGGCATCGTCGTCTCCAACATGTTCGGCATCGTCACCGGGGTGTTCCTGTTAGGGTACGGCCTGGTCGAGATCCCGCGGAGCATGTGGCGGAGCGCAGACGTCGAGACGCGGCCGCGACGCGCCGCGCGACGCGTCGGCGTCGCCGCGGAGGCGCTCAAGAACGCGCACCACAAGCTCCGCAAGATCACGCGCGCGAGCGAGACGACGCAGGAGGTGATGCCCAGGCTGCACCCGCTCAGGTGGGCGATGAAGACGATCGCGAACGAGACGCCGAAGGCGAGCGTCTTCGCGTCGGCGTCGGACGCGTTGGCGTCGGCGGGCGCGTACGAGGACGAGACGGCTCCGGAGGAGGAGGACGACTTTCTCGATTACGATTACGACGAGATCAAGGACCTGGTGCGGCTCCGCAGGGCGCTGCACCGGTGCTTGAGGGTGTATCGGAGGACCGCGGCGCAGTACGCGACGTGCGTGATGCAGGCGTTGGAGGCGGAGGCTGTGGCCACGGCGGCGGCGATCGACGGCAAGTCGTGCTTGATGGGCGGCGGCGGCGGCGGCGGCGAAGCGCGGTTTCGGTCGCCGTTTCGCCCGCCGCGGAACACGAAGTTTGGCGAGACGGCGGAGAAGATCGAGTGGTGGTGGAAGTGCCGCGCGCAGCCGCTCGCGCTGCGCGTCGCGTCGGTCTTATTCGGCGTGTTCTCAGCGCTCGTGGTCTGGTCCGAGTGCACGATGTGGACGACGCAGGCGATGAACCTCTCGGACGTCTCCCCGTTCAGCGCTCTGGTCAGGACCGCGGCGTCGTCCGGGTCCGAGGGCGGCATCCACGTCGCGGTGATGATCCCGCTGGGGTACATGGTCTACTGCGCGCAGTACTCGCTGTTCCGACTCGGAATGTTTTCGTTTTATCAGCTCGTCCCGCGGCACACGGATTCGTTTTCGCTCCTCTTGAACGCGGCGCTGACGTGTCGGTACTCCGCGCCGCTGTCTCTGAACTTCATCATGCTCGTGCACTCGCTTCAAGAGACGGGACGAGAGACGACGTTCACGTCTAAGATGTACGAGAACGTCCCCGTCGCGGCGCAGCACTTCGCGGCGTATTTCCCGATGGTTCTCGGGGTGTACTGCGCCGCGATTTTGTTTGGCTTTTTCGACAAGCTCACGGCGTCGTGCTGCTCGTGCCTCCCCGGGTTCAGAGGCGCGAAGCTCGGGGATAAGTACACGTTCGAGAGCGACGATAAAGACCTCGAGATGGACCTCCACGTCAGCGAGGGCCGAAGGGTCGTGGAGAGGGAGCGCGCGTCGTTCGCCGCCGTGGAGGGCCACGGCGTCGTCGGCGCGGGATGTCCGTACTACTACGACTTGAGGAAGCGCGACATCGGGACCGGGAGCGACGACTCGGGCTCGGGCGCGGCGGACGACATCGAGTCAAACGATCGCGTCGGATTATTAGGGAACAGGACGCGCTCGGACGAGTCTCGAGATCGGCGGTGGGAGCGCACGAAGGAGCGCCTCGGGGACGCGGTCGCGACGAGCGGGAGGGGGGGGTCCCGCGGGGGAGGGAGGACGGGAGCGCCGCCGTCCGAGGACGCGCCGAGGTCGTTCGCGTCGCGGTTCGGGTTGGGCGGCGGGAAGACGGAGAAGAAGAAACCCGGCGGACGCGGCGGCGGGGGGTCCAACTTGGATAGCACGTTCGCGTCGCTCTCGCGGAAGTGATGCGGCGGACCGTGACTAGCTCTCTCGTCGTCTATTCCGCGCGCGCTACTCGCCGCCGCGCGCGCCGGCGTCTCTCATGAACGCCATCGCGGTGCCGTCCACCGCGAGTTCCCCCCCCTCGCCCTCCTTCCGCACCCTCGTCGCGAACGCGACGCGGCTCTCCCCCACCCTCGTCACCTCCACCTCCGCGAGCACGCGCTCGCCGACCGTCACTGGCGCGCGAAACGTCAACGTCTGCGACGCGTACACCGCGCCGGGGAATCGCGTGCCGATGACCCCCCCGAACATCGACGCGACGAGCATCCCGTGCACGACCGCGCCGCCCGCGAACCCCGCGGCGGCGGCGGCCGCGCCGTCGACGTGAATGGGGTTCGCGTCATTCGTCACGGACGCGAACATGAGGACGTCCTCCGCGGTGAACGCGCGTCGTTCCGTGAAGACGTTCCCGACCTCGAGGGAGGATGATGGCGGGGACGACGAGGACGTCGACGTCGACGCCGACGCCGTCGCGTCGACGCGGGGACGAGCGGACGCGATTGGGGAGAACGCTCGCGGCGACGGCCCGAAGCGCTTCGCGAGGCGCAGGAGCATCATCGCGGCGGTCGCGTCCGCGCGCTCGGTGGAGTGCCGTTAGCCGCGAACTAACTTTCTGTTTCAGGTTTTTACCCGCCGACAAAATGCATTTGGATGCCACAACGATGGCGAGCGCCGCCGCCGTCGCGGGCCGCCGCCCGGAGGTCCCGCGGCCGCCGCGCCACGACCGCGCGAGCACGCACCGTCGCGCGGGCACGAGCGCGCCGAGACGCGCGACGCTCCGTCCTCGACGCGCGACGCGGGTCGTCAGATCCGACGCGCGGGTCGACGACGACGATTACGGCTACCGCGACGACGGATGGGATGACGCGCGCGACGACGGACGGGACGCGCGCGACGACGCGTTTGGACGACGCGGCTACGCGCCGACGTACGAGGACGACGCGTACGCGTACGACAGACCGCCGCGACCGCGAGGAGGAGGCTTCGACGACGCGTCGTACTACCCCCGCGACGAAGGCCGCGCGCGCGCGAACGGCAACGGCCCGCCCCCGGACGTGACGCTCCTGACGCAGCGCGAGATTCAGTCCCTCCTCCCCATCGGCGCGACCGGGGAGCAGTACGCGTACTTCTGGGGCGGCGCGGAGACCGCGACGCAGCGCGTCGGCGTCTCCCTCCTCGGCCTCGTCGCGACCGTCAACGTCACCGCGCTCCTCGCCGTGCCGGCGGCGACGTTTTTCCTCTGGGCCCCCGTCGCGCTCGCGGCGCGGCGCAACTCCGCGGCGAGGCGAAGCCGACGGCTCGGGATGTGGCGCGCGCGCGTCCTGCGCGCGACCCCGCGTGAGATGGGGCCATCGTCCGGGTACTACGACGCGATGACGCGCGGAGGAGGAGGAGGAGGAGTGGGAGGGGGAAGGGGGAGAGACGGCGCGGGCGCGACGGCGTGGGCGCTGGAACTCGTCGTCGGCGACGCGAGCGGCGCGCGCGTGACGCTCAGGCGCGTTCTATACACTGGTCCCCATACGACCGCGTCGGCGTGGTGAACGCCGATCCTTAAGGACTTTGCCCGGCGCATATCTCCGCCCACCCCTCGCTTTCAATCCCCGCCATCGGCGCCTTTCAACTCCATCTGACGCCTTTCAACTCCACCCCGACATTCGCTCGTATGGAACGACCCTCAGGACGCCGTTGAAGCGTTCGCACGTCGGCGTGCGCGAGGGCGACGAGGTGCACATGGTCGTCGGGTCCGACGAGAGCTACTTCGCGACGTTCGACGCGGTGCGCGAGGCGTACTTCCCGCGCACGAACGAGTGGATCGGAGAGTACCCGTTTCTCGACAGGCGCGCGATGCCGGCGGTGAGCGCGAGGATATCGAGGGACGCGGAGGACCGCGCGGCTTTCGCGGAGCGCGAGAGGAGGGAGCGCGCCGCCGGCGCGGGAGGGGGAGGGTACGGACCGGGACCGCCGCCGTGAAGCTGCGCGACGCGCGCACGCGGCGAGAAGAGTCGCGCGCGCGTGGGGGGGACTTTCTTTAGTAGAACGACTGTGATAGGAGGCGCGTCGCGATGCGGTACCGTGCTGTCGCGCGCGCGCTTTATACAATCGAATCGTCCAAAAAGAACGCTTCCCGTCGATGTGTCGCTCGCCGTCCCTCCCGTCTCGTCTCTTCTTCACTTGGGATCGAGCTTGCTGATCTCCTCCATCATCTTCTCCAGCTCCGCCTCCGGGAGCTCCTCCAAACGCTTCGCCATCACCGCGTCCTCGTAGTCCTTCAGCTGCTTCACGTACGTCATGTCCTTGTTCATGACTCGCCCGACGTAGGACCCGACCCAGGCCACCGTCAGCCCGCCGACGAACGTGAGCTGAACGATGTTCCCCGCCCAGATCGCGGACACGCCCTTCGCTTGGAGGCCGTAGTAGAGCGCGAACCCGAGGGCGGTGACGCCGACGCCGATTAAGATGACGTCCTGCCTCGTGTACCCGAACGGGACCTGCCGGGGGCGGACGGGAACGACGGGGACGTGGCGGGGACGGTCGTCAGGGATGGGAGCGCGCGTGGAGGGTGGGTCGGATACGGCGGGGGCGCTTTCGCTCGAACGACGACGAGGAGGGGGGGGGGGGGGGGGGGGGGGCGGGGTTCG